AAAATCGCGTAATACCGTTGAACGATTGTACATTATGCGTACCATTGTATGTACCAACGCGATATTATTTTGATCAACGTTGTAGTTGACTGCTGCCAGATTTGACGCTCGAATGTCTCGATACCAAGTTGAAAGAAGTGTATAGAAATTGTTTCGTTGTGACGAAATGTTCGAACTGATCGCTTCAACTGTCTGAAGCTGATATCACGTATAAATCGCGCAAATCGCATAAATTCAAATCTAATAGGAAGAATATCGTTGTTTAATCAAAATAAATTAACGTCAAGAACTGAATATTTGAACAAATAACGAACTGAAACGACTAGCAATGTTACACAAATATAATTGTACTTTGCAATAAGCATATCTACATAGTTTTATGTAATTTTTTATATCTTTAACAAACGCGTGATTATTACAAAATTTGGTGAAAAACATTACTAGTATTTACAAGAAAATATACAGACATATGTTTAAAGTGACTCAACTTTAGATATCATTCATTGTTAGATTGAAACACGTGGCATTCGGTGGCATAAGGATGTATGGTGGTGTTGTCTCATCATGTGGATAGTCCGGAATTACTCGAGAGACGTTAAAACTCTGTAAATATGAAATGGAACATATGAAAAATTATACATTAATAACCGTTGCTCACACTGGCTTGATCACTGATGTACAGAACTGGCTCAAACATAAGAAATTTTTCAGAGTGTTAATTCAAGAGTATTACACAGACGTTTAATAATTATCTTATTTATTTCAATTATAATTAAAAATATCTATAATATATATATATATATATATATATACACATATTTTTATATATTTTGTACAGTTTACTTTTATTTTGCATGAGAAGACTGGCACACAAACATACTTTGGAATCAAAAAATATTTCACATTCTTCACTACATGAGAAACCAGGAAGACAAAAGTTCAAACGTAAATCGCTAAATTGTTCGACTTACATATCTTTTATGCATAGCCAAGCAAAAAGTGCAAACTTGCGATCTCGTCGAGCAAATGCCGCTATTCTCCAGGAGGCGCGAGCAAGGTTGATCTATCGCACCCACAATGAGTATGGCATCCAAGTGACTGATGTAACTGCTGGCTAGCCTGAGAGTCTCTATTTTCGATAACTTCCTGTCCGCCGGCTCGGTTGGAATCAGTGTCCTCAGAGCACTGAAAGCCGTGTTCACGCTGCACAACGAAGATCGCATTTCTTCACTTGTACACCTGTGTCCCAGCAACCCAAAAAGTATTTCGCTCGCAATGCGATCATTTTTATCCGTTATCCGTATATCTATCTCGCTTACTAGGCTTGCGTGTCGTCAGTGCATTTACATCAACTAAAAGACTAACGGTCTTGCAGAAAAATGAATTGAAGAACTTATTTCTTAAACTGTCTTCAATGACTCTTTCGTCCGTGCTGTTGAGAGATTTAAATTGTACCATAAAAACTACAGAAAATATACCAGTTCAAGACATACAATATTCGCTTTTTTATAAACATGGATTTGAAGACTAAAGTATTAAAGATTTTATAAAATATAGATCTAAAAACTAAAGTGTTTGCAAGTAAGTTCTCCAATTGCTTATCGAGAAATCACTAATTATCTGAATTCTTTATCCTTTTGAGACGACAAGGAGTAGTTCGAATAATCATCTATGCAAACATGTCTTACACTTCGTCATTTGTGATTGCGATAACAGTCACATCAATGTCACGAAAATATAATTTTTCGCAAATTGCTCTTCACCTATGAGTGCGGTCCCTCTCTCGAGCGTTTGCTTGATACCGTTGCTTCGTCGATTCTTCTTTCTTGCGCGTTGCCATGTTCCGATTTTCTTCCAATATTTGATGACCACGATCTCTCGCGATAACAACGCTTTCGCCGACTGCTCGCTATGACAACGTCTCCGTCAATGAGAGAAACCGACCCACAGCCTCTTCCCGTTCCTCCGGAATATGGAGTTTCCTCATCTCTCTGCTCTCCTCCTCCCTTACTCTCCCTCTTTCACTCAGCCGATTCTGAGCACACACGTGAGCAGCATGTGTGTGGAATCAGGGGCGGAGGAAAGTCTTCCCCTCTTTCTTTCTCCTCTTCGGCTCTTCCTTTTCCTTTTCTTTTTTTATTTATTCATCCGGTTTCTATTGCATCACGTTACAAATACGACAAAGAAAATAAGAAGCGAAAGTAAATTTATACAAATCATAGACATAGATTTATATAAATCAAATTTGTATCTTAAAGGACGATTACTCACTACCGAAGCACCGAAAGTACCAAAGTGAACCTTGAATTTGTAAAAACAAATGTTATTGCCTTTATGCAAACGCAGTTATTTCATTCGCTGTAAGCATTCGAAGTCTTTCACATTCTAGTTTTGTATTTACAGCTCAATACACACATATTGTACGTAGTAACTCGATTTATGATCCATGTGACTCGATTCATCCCTGCGATATACGTTCTGCGTATGTGATCCTCACACACGCGCGCACACTTTCATACTTAGTACATGAGTGATGCATTCCATGTAAAGTGGTCTGCGGCTGCGTTTCGCATTAAGCTGTGTAAAAACGTAGATGACCATAGGGACTGAGCGGTGGAGTAGGGTAAGGGAGACAAATTCCATCTGCAAAACTAATTAGCGTCCCGTCACGGCGTTTCTATCCCCCCCCCTCTCTCTCTCTCTTTCCTTCTTTCTCGTCGCATATTTACCAATTTCATCAGTTTTGTACATACAATTACACGCCGAAACGCTACAAAAATTAACCGTGCGTGTTAAATTCACTTATTTATCGCAACATCGGCGAGACGAATACTGGGACTTGGGCGATTTAATTATCTCGAGTGATAATTTTATATATATGTGTATATATATATATATATATATATATATATATATATATATATATATATATATGTAAAATCATCGGAAACGCAGAAGAGGAAATGCAACGAAAAAATGTCGAATCACACACACATACACACTCGAGAGTTTCGTATGAAAAGTTTACTCAATTAGATAATCAGGGTACAATAAATCAGTTACACAGCATGTTTATGTTTCTGATCATGCGGTGGTCACGTATTTCAACAATCGATACCGTTGACGACATATTACGTGGAAACATTCGCTGGCTAAGACAAAATCTTCCGGTAATTTGCGGATTTATCCTCGACTGCTTTGTATGTGTTGTATGTATCCTTTCCATTTAATTTCGTTTATCATCGATCAGCGTTGCGTGCGCGCACACAAACATAAATATATATGCACGTTAGTAAAAACCACCGAAGGTTTGCATCTTTCAACGGAAAGATATCTTAAAGAGTACGTATCGAAAATATACAAGTTTGATAGATTAAGAAAGTAATAGCGAAACTTATAGATTATATTTTTTTTTATGCGACTATAATCGAACGAATTGTAATTCGTGCAATTTTTACAGAACGCTCTAATGCAGTCGACTGTATGATTGCGTAAGCAAGCACACTCGTACTCGCTTCTTTTCATTTTACGTACACGTACTACGTTTTTTATGCGTTATTACAAGTACTTAAAATAATGAAAAAGTACCGACGTAAAAAGATATACAAGCTGTTCCATTTGCAGTAAACACGCGGCATCAGCCCTCCCCTCATCGATTTCTCCAATATTTCTTTATACATCTCAAACTGTATAGAAAAGCAATAAAATGATAACTAAACGCGATTATTATTAAACGCTTCAATATCTCGCGCTGAATTTGCACTATTTTCTGAAGAACATGTAAATATGATAATAAATAAATATATAAATTGTTATATGTGTGTGTATAATGCAGAATAAATCGATGATAAATTTTAGTTTTATCTGCATTTATTGATCTTATATGATATACTTACCATTGTGGTAATGTTATGCGTATGATTTCACTGTTTAATCGTGATTAAAACAATAGAAACGGTGAATGTCGTTTCTTCGTTTGTTCTTCGAGCAAATTTAATTTCTACAACTTGAAATATATAAAGTATGAGATTTTCGGAATCGTTGAGGAGATTCTTATATATTTATACTACTCGTCCCAAAATCCTTCAACTTATTGCCGCGTCTTATCTATATTTCTTTCTTTTTCGTTTCCATATAATAATATAATAATAATAATAATAATAATAATAATAATAATAATAATAAAATAACGCACATTTCTCTATTTACGAGAACAAATAGCAAAAAATATATATATACATATATATATATGTATGTATGTATGTATATGTATATATATCTACATGCACATGGAAGGATTAAAAACCGCAGTATAATCCCCCCCTCCGTACAAGCACTTTGGCATATATGCACCATTGCTTAAAATCGGACGAAAAAACAAGATCAATAAAATCAATCGATTGACACGTAAAATACCATAAAAAAATTTGAAAATACTTCACGTATCAAATGTTCGTCATTTTTGTATAAATGTTAATCTCTCCGTTTCTCTTTCTGCCGCTCTGACGATGCCAGATTGTTCTGTAACGTTCGGGGGTTAAAATATCTCGACGTGATATTTACAATAGCGAGTTACATTGATCACTCTCGCTGTGTATGCATATATGAGTGTGTATATATTTCTTCCTTTAAATATGTCTGAAAGACCATAAAAATATTTTCTGATCTTAGCTTTTAAAATTACAGAGGATATTTATATATATATGTATATATATATATATATATATATGTGTGTGTGTGTGTGTGTGTGTGTGTGTGTGTATATGTATATATATATACACACACACACATGCGTTATGTGTTATGCGTTATGTATAAATTACTCCGTGGTATCAGAAGAACGTTCCCATTGCATATACATACACAACATGATGTATCACGCACTTCAGGTTTCTATCGACATGCCTAAACGATATCAAGACTATATGTATATGTATTTATATAAATAAAAAACATGTGCACAAGTTTAGGGACGCGATCCACGTGCTGCTTCATCCAGTACGCGAATTTTGAGCTCGCGCTCACGCTGTTGTCTAAAAAACACCCTTCGTTAGTCCGATAATACCGCTCTAGATCATGAGTTATAACAAAAATCAAGCAAGTTTTTACTTATTGTTATCAAGGCACGAACCTTATGTACTCCTCGTGGGCGACGATGGATGGGTGCGGTGGGAAACGCTCGCGCTCTATCATAAGGTGTCGTTGAAATTGTTCATGATGTGCAGCCATGTCTGCGTACGGTCTTCCCAGCAGCTCGGCCGGATGCAGCGCGAGAGCTGGATCGCGCGGCATCAAACCGGGTCGAGGATAATTGGCGCTGGCTGCAGCTATGGACAAAGATGACCATGTTGGAAAACTGAACACAGTCGAGTCGTGCGCTGTGAGAACACATCAACTATACATATAATATAGACTCCTTTCACAATAATATACCATACACATAACAATGTCTCGTATAATATACGTTTGAGAAGCATATGTGTTCGTGACAATCGCGATGACTCATGACAGTCTCGTGTGATATGTATTCTTTTTGGGAAACGTTTAGCTCGTTCGACTCGCAGAGATAGAAGGAATTGCGACGAACTCCTAGCGTAAAGGCTATCTATCTCAAAGCGTCTCAGAGACGTTACTTCTCATTTTGCAAACACACGCACGCACGCGCACACGCACAGTCGCGCCTGCACCTCGACGACACTCACGCGTACACTCGCACTTGCACCTGACGGCGATAAGCGACTGACCGGAAGTCAGAGTCGAGGACTCCTGAGAGATTCGCAGGCGCGCCGACGGTAAGGGTGCGCGAGAAAGGAGGATCGCCTTGACCTAGACGGTGTAGGTGTAGGTTCAGGTCGATCAATGAGAAACACACGGTTGCCTCCGTTATTCGACGAGCGATAAATGCGAGGAACGGAAAACTCTTTGTTTAAGAAGCTTAAGAAGAAGAACATCCTGTGTGTAGGACCTACCAGGCAGAGGAAATCCAGCCGCAGCCGCAGCGGCTTCCTGCTGTTGCTGAGCCTGTTGCTGGGCCTGTTGCTGTCCCGGATGTAAGTGCAAGTGCGTATGCGCATGCGTATGCGCGTGAGTGTGAGCGTGATACTCAGGAGAGATGCCAGCCATCTGTAACCTGACCATCGGGTCAGCGGCCAGAGCCAGTCGCTCTTCGAGCTGACCATGGTGGTGTGCCGCCACGGGATGGCCAGCCCCTCCAGCCGCTGGCCCCCCACCGGCTGCAGTCGGTATTCCTAAACCCGACAGTGCTTCGATCACATAACTCGGTCATCACTGACATATGATTCTTATGCCGGATTTCTTCAACTCCGGTTAACACCATCGTGTTAACGGTCGTGTAATTACATTCAGGCAAAAATAAAAACGTAATAGCTTTTTACGAACGTTTCCTTGCGAAGGTGCATCGTGTCACCGGCGAAACATGACGCCCAGACAAGCAGCCGAGATCCTTACGGGTCGAGTTAACCGACGCTGAAGAAATCGGCGGAAATTAATTCAGATTTAAATATCTAGCCAGCTACTTCGTATCTTCAATGCCCCTGTGATATCTTTCTCCGCCTCTCCTTCCCTCCCCTTACACACACCCACACACATACATACATACATACACACATACACGCATACACACACACACACACACTCTCTCTCTCTCTCTTTCTCTCTCTATCTCTCGATCTGTATAACTTCACCTCTCTCGCGACCTACCAATCTTTCCTTCTACTATGTCATACTTTGTATCGCTAAATTAAGTTCAATATTGAAAAGCACTGTACGATTGTACGATTGTGGACGGATAGTCGACGGATATTCCTACTTCTACCTCGGCGAGACATGACAAATTTGATGATGAACAATTACCTAGCCTTTCCAAACGTTCACGTTCCAGCTGGCTGGGACCCGGAGGAGCACCGTAGAGACCAAATTGATGCAAGGCTTGAGGGGGACCGGATGGGCCTGCTAAACCAGCAGCGTAACGTCGGTGTATCTCCAGCCAGTGTGGATCAACCGGTGCCGGCATTGGTCTGGGTGTGCCCTTCAGCAGTTCTTCCTTCAAGCGATCATTCAACTCCCGTTCGCGTAACTCGCGTATCTCACGCTCACGCTTCTCTCGCTCGAGATGTTCCAACTCCAAGCGTTGCGCAGCGGCCTCACGGCCATACAGGTAATGCAACATCGGGTCCGTGGGAGCCGGATGTCTGGCAGGTGAAAAGGCAGCGTGCGGCCTCGCATATTCGGACAATTGCCTGAGAGCTGGAGTATCCGCGTATGAGCCAGGTCGCGTCGCGTATCTGTCGTACGGTGAGACAACAGGTTCGAGAGGTCCACGACTTGGCGGTTTGCAAGTCTCCGGCTGTTTTTCCGGTGTCGTCATTTTCCTGGCTTGTTGAGCAGCTGCGGCGGCACGATCGCGTTCCTCTCGTTCACGCTCCGCCTGTTTCCTGGTGCGTTCCTCGCGTTTTCTCGCGAGCTTCGAATCCGGTACAGGCTTGAACACCAAATCAGTGCGCGTGCACGAATTATTCTCACCGCGATTCCAATGCCGCAGGAAAATCGCCGACTGGGAACGGTGGCACTCGGAATCTTCGATGCGTGGCTCGGGCGACGGTCCTCGCGGACTGGCCGGTTCGTCAGGTTCCGGCTCCATATCCTGCTCGATCTTCGGTTCTTGCACGATCGGGGGCTGCTGCGGTTGCGGTGGACGATGGTGATGATGTGCAGAACTGGTGGACGTTAGGCACGTTGCTGAGACCATTGAAGGTTTGCGTTGGCTTGACCCGTGCGATGAAGAATGACTGTGAGAACTATGGGAGGATATAGTGAGCAGCTTGTCGTGGTGCAGAGTAGTCGCTTGGTGCATACTGGACGAGTGGTGATGAGAGGCGATCAGATTCTCGCCCTCTTCTCTCGTGGTAACACTAGAGCTGGTACTCGCATGATGAGCGGTCATCATAGTGCTGCTCTCTTGGCTCCTCTGCGGTGAAGGCGGTGGTATGGCATGTGGAACCGGACCGTACGTGTACGGCGGGAAGGATGGATAACCTGCTACAGCCCCGTAACCCGGATACGCGTGCGGATGATACGCATGCATTCCAAACAGCGTATGGTGTACGAGATGAGGGTGAAACGGGTGAGCCATATGCGGGCTCGGTTGCTGTGCGGGATGCATCACCGGTTGAGGTATAGAGCTAGGAGGCGGGGGCAAGTTCGGTGTCGGCGTCGGCGTCGGCGTCGGCGAAGCCGCAACAGGCTGAAGCTGCGGCACCAATGCGGGAGCAGAGTTCTGCACCGAATGCTTGCTCGGCGTAGGCGGTTTGCTCGCACCGTCCGGATCCTTCTTGATATTATCCAGACTCGGGCCTGGAAACGCGGAACTCTGGAAGCCCGGCACTTTGACCTCCTTTAGACTTTGCAGGGGATCTGGTTCCGGTGGAATTATCTCCTGTTTGATCTTCAAGTTCTGCGGCTCCATCGGCGGTGTACCGGCCAGATTGTAAATACCCGTAGGTTTATCCATCGACAGCATACCACCGGGTTGTAGCGACTGGAACAGATTACTCGGTTCATTCGAGCGCTCGGGTTCGTTACTTTCCGTACGTTCCGAGTGCCTGTCTGACGTCATTCGCTCCGACTGTCGCAGACTGTCGCGCGCTCGTTCGCTCGGTAACCTGTCGTCCGCGGAGATTCTGTCGGCACCTCTGCCTTCGGACGACATGACGGTCAAACCAAGCGGTTGCGGCGAACTCGGCATCGGCGGTGCGATTTGCGACATCTGACCGATCGGTCCCATGCCAGTCGGTATTTGGCTCTGCGAGATGTTAAGATTCAACGGCGGCCCCGACATACTTTGCGGCGGCAAAGCTTGCGCGCCGCTCGACATGCTGTCCGCATGGGCGCGGAGGTTTGGTCCCATGTTCGGCGGTGCGTTCGGCACCATGTTAGGCACCAATTGCGGTGGCATACTTTGCGACAGATTCTGCGGCACATTTTGCACCGGGGGCGGCGGCGGCGGCGGCTGCGGTTGCGGCTGCACATTGTTCGTTGCGTATTGCATACTGAGACCCGCCGGTAATCCACCGGTAACGTTCTGCTGTTGACCAGGCGATATCACAGGGATGCCCTGCGAACTCACCGGCATGGACTGTGAACCACCCGCGATGCCAGTGACAGGTGGTAGACTCTGCGACAAATTGCGTACCGCGGCATCGGCCGACTGTACAGGAGCCACCAGCGGCTGCGACACGCTGAGGTTCAATTGTCCTTGCTCGGGTTCCTTGGTGTCGTCGTTGGAAGTCGGCGGTGACACCACAGACTCCATCGGAACCAACGGCTCCAACTTGAGCGGTTGATTCATGGCTAACGGCGGCACGGAGTCCTCCATCTGATGATCCACCACCTTGCTTTGATCCACCAGCGGTTCTGCTTCCAGCAAGACCGGCGGTTTCTTCTCTAAACTGTGTATCACCGGCACGGAGATCGGTAGACTCTGGATAACGGCTGGCACAGGAGTGGACACTGGCGTCGGCTCGGAGGGGGGTTCCTCGGGGGTTGTAACGGCTGGACTACTAACAGGCTCTTCCGTGGCTACGCCAGCGACCGTCGGCGTGGTTGGTTGATTCTCGTTCGTGTCAGCCTCCGTTTCCCTCTCCGGTTCGTCCATCAGGGAATTACTGTCTGTCGTGAGTGACTCGGACGGGCTTTCGGCGCGATCGCCGCCGCCGACGCGCTTTCGCTTCTGCGCGTCTTTGTCGTCGTCGACGTCGTCCGGTTGTGAACGCTTCTGCGTACCCTTCTTGGGCGTCTCCACTTTGCTGGACGATTTCTTCTTACTCTTATCGGGTGATTGCTGCTGCTGCTGTTGCTGCTGCTGCTGCTTCTCTTGGTCGGGCGTGTCAGTGCCACCGGTGCGTCGCGGTCTCGCTGGTCTCGGTGTCTCCTTGGCTTTGTTGCGCGTACGCATTCTACCAGGACTCTCCGGTGATTCCGCCGGAACTGGGCGGAACAGATAAGGCGGCGCAGGCGGCAGCTCGCCGGTTTTCTTCAAATGCGCACGGCATTCCGTACAGAGAAGTAGCCGATCCTTGCCGGCCACCTGATAGTCCTTCGAACTGGTGGAGAAGCAATGTTGACACGAGTGAGCCGTACCGTTCGTATTAGTGTCGCGAGAATCACTATCCTCTTCAGAGTTATCGTCCTCCGTTACGGAGCTGATTTCTCCACCAGGGTTGTGACTGGCCGGCGTGCCGACTGGCACGCTCTCGGCCTCGGACGCAGGCTCCTTCGTGTTGACGTTTGCCGTTGGCGCTGTATCCTTTGTAGGCGTCGGCACCTCCTCTTTGGGAGTGCCGGCACGGGAGTTCCGCGTATTACGGATCCTTCGCAGTGAGCTCTGCCGGCGCCGACGGTGTGGCCTATTGTTATTGGCACCAGGCGTCTTTTTCCACAAGTAGTAGAACTCGACCAATTCCGGCTATACAAAGACCCGAGTCAAACGACGAAATGGATTTTCCTACTGCTTTGTAACGATTTCTCGTTCGATATGAAGTATGAAAGGTAGGTAGGTAAAAGTTTATCTTGTCAGGTAAAACGTAAAACGCAAAGCAACAACCTTTCGAACGTTTCCCTCACATAGATTTTCCCTTGCGATACCGAAAAACAGAAAGAAAACTTTACAAGAGACCTCAAGCTGATCTGAAAAAGATGAAGATTGCTCTTCGCAAATGTATTTGCGCTTAATTTTGTTCCCGTATACTTCTCTCTTTCGTCCTAATAAATACGAAAAGAGCATCTTGGAAAGAGAGAGGGCTCGATGGAGATACGGAGATACCGTGTATTTCTCTTCAAGTGTCTTACCGTGTCTTTGTGCGGCAGAAGATCCTTCCTAATGCGTGAAAAATTCTTCCCAAATTGCCGTAAACCCTTGACGAATCGCTTCTACGGTTCAACAACGACAATCCGTCACTTCTTCTGTTCTACGGAAAGCCGACAACGGTCACGCTGAGAGAGAGAGTGATATACTTACGGTCTCTTCCTCGGACCATTTCTTGTCGATGCCTTTAGGTACTGGACATTTGACGAGAGCCTGAAGTGCCCTACCGGGATCATAGCCAGAGTCATGCAGAATGTCCAGAGCATTGATGGTAGTGTCGTCTCGAGACGCCGCCACGCAACCATCGTCCGGGGATCCGCCGTCACACATACCGGCGAAAGCGGCCATAGACCGAGCCGCCCTCAGGTACATGAGAAGATCCCCGTCCAATGCCATGGCCGGGACCCATCTTAGCTCCTCGCGCTCCTTGGAGAATTCTGGATCGGGTAGCAGCTCGCCGGGTGGTATACCCGGCCGATACTCAGGCAAACGGGCCTGACAAGAAACCAACTCCTGTAAATCCCAAAAAATTCGGGATTGCGCGCGGTTAGCACCGATATGCCGAAGCGAGTTAGTAGTCACGCACCTATGCTCCGGCTTGCCCTCTCAAGCGGTTATCACCGCATTAGCCCAAATTCTAACGTGTTATACTCGGAAGAACGCCCCTCTCTCTCTCTCTCTCTCTCTCTCTCTCTCTCTCTCTCTCTCTCTATCTCTCTCTCTCTCTCTCTATCCATCTATCTATCTTTCATGTGTCTTTTGTTCGCTCGCCGCTTTATCTCTCTCTAGTCTCGTTTGTACAGAACGTGAATGATAAATCTCGGTGTCTCCTTGTTATCGCTTTCCCTTCTCGATTATCCCACGGACAACGATAATCGCACTCTCTGCGTACTCTGCGTACGATTCGTCGAGGTACACAGACCGGCGTATAATAACCTCGTTAATAATAACACTCGGAGAGAGAGACGCTACGCGATTTTCAACTACATCAACAAACGCGCGCGTAGAAGACTGTATAGTGATTCCGACGGTACGAGCATCGAGGTGATTATGCCGATCTGTGTACACGTTCGCACTCGAAAGCACACACGCGCGTACTTCGCATTACGAAATTCTGTGTCGGAAGTCCAAGATAATTACGGGGGTTAAAGATAGAAGTTACGTATCTACGCGACTCCGTGTAACTTGCGTAATGTATTTATCGAGTGTTACTTATATTCGCGCGGTGATAATTCACGACGAATGTTTGTCACGAAGCTGTTCCCGGCGAGACGACGGCAAAATTCGACCGCGGGGAGGGCCGCGGGGAAGGAAGGGGGGGGGAAAGTAAAAGCGACAAACGGACGATTTACGAGCTATCGATTAGTCACGGCTAAGTCACGGCAACGGACACGGTGCCTCAATGATCCCGTAGTTCGACGAAATTCTATTGACATTACCTCGACTACGATTTACGCATACACCGAGTCTCGGGGACCCAGCAAATTACCTTCCACGATCACTTCGGCCAATCTGGAATCGGTTCTTTTCTCGACGAACAAGTCGCTTGACGCGATCTCTCAATTTTCATCGTAATTATGATTTTAATCATTTTAATCATATCATTTTGATCACAATTGTTGCAACTGATGTACGACACGTGTCGAATATTTTTCGACACAGCAGTCGATCCTCGAGAAAGGATCCTCGAGATTTAACGAAAACTCTGACGCATCTTTGCCATTTGCAAATAAAGAACTATCTAGTACCGATCTCGCTCCTGACCCGATCAGTCGAGAGAATCATCGGTCAGCGCATAAGAAAATCTCGATTCCAAATCGGTGCTCGCGCCGATCACAGATGGTTCAAGTAAGCAATGGAGAATAATTGTTGTATGATAAACAGAGTTGTAAAGTAGTAAAGCAGAGGCGAGTTGATCTGCTTATTGACTGACTGATGGATCATTCGATCGATCGCTCGAGTTACACTTCACCGTGACTGAATACCACTCCAAAATGAAGAAAGCGCAATCTCTCACGTCAGATATAAACTATACAATTATTATCCTCATGCATCGCTCTCAGGTATGTATATGTACATGTGTGTATTTACGCACAGCTGATGTACCGCTCGCGAGGGTTGAGAGGACGTTCCTCGCGCGGCTGATATATCGGACGAGTAAAACGAATGATCCTCGAGCCGATTTTTTGACGGAACGAGCGCAATTGGCGCATGCTGAAAGCATGCCCGGTGCGACAACTATTACAACAAGTATTACCGAGAGAGAGCTTGACGAGTGACGTTTCACGTTTTTTTTTCTTTTTGCGCGAGAAAAATCGCCATTTGTACTTGAAACATCCGAAGCTCTCCGATAGCGGATAAGTGCGTTAGTTGAACCATCGGATTGACTAGTGAGTAGATTAGACCGGCGATTTTCACGGCGATACGGCTCGTCAATTTGCATTCTGCCACAATCTTGTGTACCTCGCACACCTACAGTGTAAATCGTAGAACCTGCGAGTTAAGCGCGTCGGCGTACGTCTCGCAATTGGCGCGATCGTCACCTCCAAAGTCACCGTGCAACGATCCCTATCTGTGGCTGATGAATTCCACGGATGATGAATGTGCAAATGAGATGACGTGGCCGCGCGTGGAACATTCTTGAAATTTGTATGTGCGTTGCTCAAAGTGTCAAATGTGCTGCTGCCGAGTCATTCGACGACGACAAATGCAAGTTTCCACACGGAGCATATACGATGTTATGCGTGCCGATGCCCGGTCGCCACGTTATCGGTTTTATTGTTTAGACCTCAACTTCAAGACCGATTCCACGCTTCGTACTTTCGAGATTAGATTACAGCGTATTTACGTAACGTTTTCTTTATTATTTCACTGTCGTTGTAAAATGTGCTTTCAGTTTTTATTGACGCCGTTACTTCCCGAGGTTCTTTGTTCTTTTTGTAAGCGCGTGCGTGCTGTTCGGAAGAAACGTGTACCACATACATGTATAAAAAATAACACACACACACACACACACACACACACACACGCACGCACGCACGCACGCACGCACGCACACATTTACACGGATACACACGTACAGGCGCGCATTTTACGGTTATTACGTCTGTTTTTCTTTTTTTTATGTAAAGAGCGTGAAAATTTGCATAATTACTCTTTTTCGTTTGACCGATTTGTGCGAACGATGTCCGCTTAAAAATAGAAAATTATGCTACATGCTCCACGATAAGAAGAGCGGATTATCATTGTCGTGTGGCTATCGCGTGCGCGCGCGCGGCTCTTTCCCGATAATTCGATATCTCTCAGCGGAGAATCAACTCAGTTTCAGTTAATTGACGACTTAATTGCTCGATTAAGCGTGAAATCCACACGTTATTTCCACGACGGTCGCCGATACTTTCTCCGATACATATAATACTTCTCTAATACATATAACACTCTACAGTCTTTTTTTATCTTGCGAAGATCTTGGATCGTGACTAGTATTCAATTGTTCATTATGTAACATAATTTGTTCATTTGTAACATTAAGTTGTTCATTATGTAACAACTGACGTAATAATAACGAGATGCGATGAGGAGGACTCGCGGTTTTTTTTACAAGCGATCCACACACCCCTTACCACGTTAACACACGATGAACAACCGACTACGCTAATTGGACAAGCCTCGAGATAGGCGCACTGTGCGCGATACCACTAAGTAGCAAAAAAAGGTTTTCAAGATGTGCATGCCAAACCTGATGGGAAGGGCCAACCCGAATCTCGCCCTGGGTGCCAGCTGACATCTCCCCCTCCTCCGAAGCTCCGCCGTCTTTCTCCAGCGTTTTGAATGCCTTTGATCTTCGACTTTCAGTAAATTCCTATCATCCACCCCCTGAATAGTTATGTCATCAATACGAGTAAGAAGATCTGACTTGAGGACGATTTGACAGAAAATAGAACATACACTGCTTAACATGCTCGTCATGGTGTCGCAAAGACTGCCGTGGTCGGTCACGAACAAATAACAGAGAGGTATACATTACGTATTTATCTCGCAATGCCAATTTTTTTATTTTACGAAAACAAACGCTAAATCTCCGTTGAATCTTTGGCGAAACTTGACGAATCTTTAACAGTGCACTTGTACATCATCGATACGTGATATCTAAATAAAGAGAAGACACACCGGGGGGACACGAAATGTGTTTGTTCCTATACGCATACCGAGAATATACAAGGCTGAACTCTCTCTTTAGTGTTTAAAAAACAATTACAACAATGTCGCCTACGATAAAGGTAGCTTTAAAGGCGAGAATAAAGGTATCTAACCCATATGAACCCGATTCCGCCCCATACTTGCAAATAGAAACAAAGTTGAGCAAGATACACTTACGCTGTGTTGCATTTATTCGTTCTCGGAGCGATTCGAGAAATTAGACAAAATTATATTCACAGGACGTCCATTCTACATATACATTCTGCTGTATTATACTGTACAATGTATCACTGTACGATGCAGCATGTAATATTTATTCCTGTCTCATTGTTTCTCTTATCTTCTCTCACTCCCTCTCTCTCTCTCTCTCTCTCTCTCTCTCTTTCTTTCGCTCTCTCGCTCTCTCGCTCTCATCCATCTCTTACTCTTCCTCTTTCTCTCTCTCTCTCTCTCTCCCTCTCAGCCATCTCTTGCTCATCCTCTCTCTTTCTCTTTTTAAGTGGTCTTAAGTCACGGTGAAAGCAGTATAAACAGGCTAATTAACAAGCGCGAACAAGCTCTCGACCGCCTCGTCCCTCGCGCGACGCAGAGGAACCGAAAGACGCCGGAAAGGATCCCGCCAGCCCGACCACATTCGACGAGTGGAGCAACTCACGAGCGAAACCGCGAATTCGAGGTCGGTGCCAAGGAAACGTGAGGCGCGAGGAAAGGCGCGATGATCGTCGTCGTGCAAGGTCGTAGTCGCGGCGCACGCACAAATTGGCACGCACACGCACGCATACGGAGAGGAAGAACACGAGCGCGCTGGCACGCACGATATCTCCGCGCGATCGAGATCGAGCGGATCGACTCGCCGCGATAATCGCGTCACGCTGCACAAACACGGCGTCTCGGCGCGAAACTCACGTCCCGCGGGAACGACGGACACGTAATATACGGACGCATGCTCTACGAGGACATCGAGCAACTCACCCGTTGTCTCCGCGGTCCGATCGGCAGCTTCACTCAGCGACGTGCACGCGTCATCGTGCCTCGGCGGAGATGATCTGTTCAGCTCGCTCGCTCGCTCTCTCTCTCTCTTTCTCTCTCTCTCTCTCTCTCGCTCTCTCTCTCTCTCTCTCTCGCTCTCTCTCTCTCTCTCTCTCGCTCTCGCACACTCGCTGCTCTCTCACGCTACGTGAGGATCACTCTGCGGGTCGGCGTAACGCGGCAACGCACCGTCGCGCACCGTGCGACACGGGAATCGTGCGGGCTCTTCGCAACGATCACTTGCTCGCAGAGGTGCCGCGGCGGCGACGACTCATCGACCTCGGTGCCTTCGCTACGGGGATCACTTTCCACAACACCCAAATGCAGCGGCCATAATGCAACGCAACGGTAGCGACGCGGCCGGGCATATTCGGGAAGCAACGTCGACCGTGTTCATGCGCAATTTCGGAACTACTTCCGTTGTGCACCCTCGGCGATGAGCAGGGTGGTCGCAACGTTTAAAAAGAAAAAAATTGACGTCCGAGAGATCGATTGTGCAAAAAGACATTCCCTTCTGTGTGACGATGGATTGCATTCTAGAGAGATCCCTAAAAATGATCGGTGTACTTTTAGTTCATTTCTTTACAACCATGTAGCGTGTGTAAGAAATAGTAACAGTATCTCATATACGAGTCTGTCGTTGGGAGGAAAAGAACAGAATGGAAAGAGATAGCCGTACTGTTTGAAAATAAAAGGATTTACTTTGCTGTTAAATCGAAAAAGATTTTTTAAGTAAATAGAGCACGCCTGACCTGCCGTTGAGTTCTCCATTCGTTTAAGATGGTGGCGGCCCGTAGCGGAGACTTAAAAAAATAATAGAAATAACGGGTCTAACTGAGAAGTAACAAAAGAACCTTTTATCCCTTATTAACATAATTGAACAGCAGATCGGTCAGACTTTTGTCTCAATTTATAAACAGAAAATCCTCCTGTTCTTCTGAGAAGTCTATCTTGACTATTTAAAAAAAAAATCCAACTAAAACTGTCGATATAAGCGTCAATTGCAGAACATCGAGAATATAATCGATTGCTTATCACAGCAGAATCGAATATCGATTCGTTAGTCGAATATTTCTTATCTCTACAGCCAGAGGGAAAAAGGCGCTTCACACTGGGCTCGGCTAAAAGCGGCCAGTGACCCCTCTCCTTCTTCTCTCTGCTATAGTTAACGGTGGGTACTATTTTCTTCAAATTTTCTCGCGTCGTCTGTGGAATGGCATGTCGGAATATTTGTACAAACATGCCCGCAAGTTGTAGAAGCATGCTTGAGAAAAGCGCACTTTTGGTGATCACCCATGGATCGGAGGAAATGGAAGCCGTGATAACCGCTGACATTTTGCGACGTGGCGGGGTAGGTTACTACGAACGATTAACAGTGTGTCAAAAATATTCTTGACGTTACGAAATTTGTTGAAATCCTGATTGGGTCTTACGTGTCATTTACAATAATGACAACGACAAAGATGTCTATCTATTACATACTTTTTTAATTATGCGATGAATATAAAGTTATATTCAATTGTTGAGTAGGTTGATGTTACTATAGCTAGCCTATTGGATGATAATTGCGTCACGTGTAGCCGCGATGTTAAAATATGTGCGGATGCCAAGTTCGCAGATGTCAGTAAGAGTCAAAAGTACGATGTGGTGATATTGCCTGGTGGTTGGAGTGGGTCAACGGCATTTGAATCGGTAAGCTTATGACGCGATATTTGGTATTATATTATTTATTGATATCAGACTTGGCAAAGGACTGATTATTTTCATAGTCTGTGGCATTAGGAGATCTATTGAAGGAACAAGTAAAAGAAGACAGAGTGATAGCAGCTATTTGTGCAGCTCCTATAGCTTTGAAAGCTCATGGTATTGGCAAAGGGAAGAAAATTACTTCTTATCCATCAGTAAGAAGTGAATTGGTTGGCATGTACGATTATTCAGAAGATAGAGTGGTGACGGATGGTAATAATTGGTTCATCATAGATTTTTATTATGAAGTATATCACTTATAGATAGAGATTATATCGGTACTGATATCTATATTCAATATTCTTACAGGTAATTTAATAACAAGCAGAGGACCGGCAACAGCATTTGATTTTGGTCTGGCTATTGTGGAAAAGTTGCTGGACAAAGAGACAGCTTGTATGGTGGCGAAACAATTACTGTACACAAATTACTGTTAAACCTTCTCGATAAAATACTATTTCACAATAGTACATATATAAGATACAAAAGTGTAAAATTGTTAGTGTTATATTATTATATGTTTATAATTTTAGGAGTAACATTTCCTTTTTAGTAGGAAGAAAGCAATATGTAACTATTCTTGATGAAGAAACAGAAACAAATATATGTACGACTTGAACTACATCGTAATACCATGACATTAAATTCAGTCTTTGGTAAAGAAACAGAAGCAGCACGCACACAGAGTGCGAAAAGTAATTCGGCTGCGGTAAGGCCGAAGGAAGCCCCATCTACCGAGGTAAATTTCACCGAAAGATCCCCAAGACTACCCTCGACAATTCAGCGTCCGTATCATCGTGGTTAGGTGCATATAAAACGCGCGGGGACGCACTCCAATGACTAACACGAACGGCGCGTAAAGAACGGTGTAAATAAATGGTCATGATGAGGTACGTTTACTGCGGGCGCGCGGCGCGTTAGTGATGCCGGCTTTAGACGAGAGTATTTCGCACGACACGACGAGCCCGCCCACGACCACGCACGACGGCCTAATGTCCGATGGTGCTTCCGACGGAGTTTCAGCTTCCGATGGACTTTCGTCCGAGAAAGTGAAGACGTTTGTTTTCTCATCGCGCAGGACTGCGCAAGACGGCACGCAGAGCGAGGAGAGTCTGGAGGTTCGCATACCCGAGGTGAGTGACGCGACGGGATTCCCGTGAAACGGAAATCGCACGCGAGACACTACGACGAGATGGCCGGCCGGATTCCTCGGGAACGAACGCGAGCTACCGGTGTTACGCGTACTTTTCGGTTAGGTCGGTCGCATACGAGTCAACAACATGGCTGGTCGGGCATCTCGACGATACTTTTTGATTGACATTATTCTTCCTCGAAACTTTTTCTGCGAAAGATAAAACGGAGTGTTTACAATAAAAAACGCATGCTCTGCGAAAAGCGTATATAGACGAGATACAGGGTGGTACCGACCATCTTCGTCGGGATAAAACTTAATGTATCAAAAATTATCAAAAATATAATGCAAAATATAACGATGGATTTTGCGGAGATAGAAAAGGCTCTTAAACTTTAGCATTTCGTCAATTACTCGCACTATTTCTGTCTAGTTCATAGTTATCATGCAATATGTTGAGATTTAAAATTGTCACGATATCAGAATTGGGACAGTTGCGTTATGTAATTCAAGGCTGTGAAGGATTGCAAACCTGGAACAGATTTCAACGTTTTTGACATTGAGGATAAAGTTAAATGGTAAATTGTTTCTGACAAACATCAATTATCGTTCTTTGCAGTTGCTGGAGGCTAGTTACAGCTTCTACATTTGGCCCTGCGCACCTGTGCTCGCCTTGTTCCTCTGGGAACATAGAGACGATCTAGTCGGAAAGCACGTGTTGGAACTTGGCGCCGGTACTTCGTTACCTGGCATTCTCGCCAGCAAGTGTGGCGCCAGTGTGACCCTGAGTGATTCTGCAAACAACACCAGAGCCTTGCAGCATATCAGAAGATGCACTGAATTGAACGGAATTCAAAACCAAGTACGAATCATTGGTATTACTTGGGGCTTGTTTCTCAACAGTTTATTTACGCTTGGACCACTAGACCTGATCATCGGTTCGGACTGCTTCTACGAGCCTACAGTGTTTGAGGATATAGTGGTCATTGTAGCCTTTCTATTGGAGAAGAATCCACACGCGAGGTTCCTCTGTACATACCAGGAACGTAGTGCCGATTGGTCAATCGAGCATTTCTTGAACAAGTGGGGCCTCACGTGTACGCACGTACCGCTGGATGATCTTGGTGCGAATTCCAATGTCAGTGTGGATGAGTTGATGCAGGCTCATACCATACATTTATTGGACATACGACGAAGGCCGTGAGGACTGAGTCTGCTGTGAGAATAATAAAGTTGAGCGCAAGTTATGGCCGGTGCTTTTACAAAATATATGCTTCAAATTAACAATATTCCTTGGACAGTGGGCCGTCAGCAGCTTGCACTGTACTTCTCCCAGTTTGGCTATGTGTATAATGCCGCTGTAATATTCAACAAACATACTGGTTTTCATGAGGGTTATGGATTTATCACAGTGAAGAAGGAGAACTTGAATAACATATTGCAACAGAAACACATCCTGGAGGGGAACGAATTATCCGTGTTAGTTAAAAACGGTAACGTAAATAACGATCTAACTAACGATATACTTAATTGAAGAAAAGGGAAACACAATTTACGAACAATGGCCGAGTGCGACATAAATATAACAGATTTGGAGGATAGATTCAACAGAGCTAGCAAGTATATGCAATCACTAGTGTCGGAATTAGATACAGACCACCTGCTCACATTTTATGCTTTGTACAAGCAAGCCACCGTTGGTCCCTGCAACATCTCGAGGCCCAATTGGTATCAGGTGCAAGCCGTACGCAAGTATGAGGCGTGGAAAAAGCTTGGCGATATGAGCCAGGAGATCGCAATGGCCAATTATATCGATGTCATCGCGAGGGTGAATCCGTCGTGGGAAGAAGAAGCAAAGTTCGAGGAATCACGTGGATGGACCTCTGTCAGCAAGTTACCCAACACAGACGCGGCGTTGAAGGATACGGAGAAGACGTTTTTGGACTGGTTGAAAGAGGGCAATGAGGCGAAGGTGCGGGAAATGGTGAGCAAAGAGCCCGGACTTTCGGGGAGAATGGACGACATTGGTTTGTTACCCATACACTGGGCCGCGGATCGGGGCCATGTCGGAATCTTGAAGTTTCTGATCGAACAAGGCGTGGACCTAAATTCGCTCGATCTCGAAGAACAAACGCCCCTTCATTATGCGGCGGGTTGCGGTCATATGGAAGCAGTGAGGTACTTACTTTCAATCGGAGCCGACACATCTAGAATAAATGGAGATGGTATGACACCCAAAGATATCGCCATTGATTCGACTAAGGATCTCTTCTGCTAACACTACATACCATAGTGATGTACACATGCACGCAATATTGTTACTCTGTTTGAATATATTAATAAATTTTCGACGAATATAACTTCTTGCGATGATACACGATAACGATCAACGACTTCAGTCCATTCATCTGTCGTTCTGATAGAGAGTAAATCTTTATTTATATACAAATAAATCCTCCAGTAGTCCATTACATTCACAGCCTAAGCACACCTTAGATAAATGCGTGATTTGTCATTGGCTAGATTTCTCATAATTCTTCCTAATTAACGTTGGAAACGGTACCGATTGTAAACTTACATTAAGCGCGTACGGGATTTGTGGAGAATGCAAGGTTTGTTACTCATAACAACAGTAGAATCCATGAAATAATAAATAAAATAAAGACGTTGGTTTTTATAATTATACAATATAAAACTCCACTTTCTCATTCAATTTTACTTTGATCTTTTTTATAATTTCGTAAAATATCATATATGATATATATATATATATATATATATGCATATGATATCTTTAAGTTTTCTTTAATTGTTAATTAAATGAATATTCAGTAATACTGTATTATTTTTTACAGTTAACAGATTATATACATACATATATATATATATATATATATATGTATGTATAATTAGGAGAATATATCGAAATAAACTGTTTACTAGTTCCTAAAATTTACATTGCACATACGAAATTTTAAACGAAATTTGTTAACAAAAGCAGATGATATATACGTGCTCCGAAACATTTTTAAATCTCAGTTTTAATATCAAAATGCAAATTTAACAGCACGTAAAGTAATAAATTTCCACTTTTCAAATTTTACAAATCTAGCATTCTCAATGGAACAAAGTACAATAAACTCGAGATCTTTTGGATGCTACGTTACAAGACACAACTTATATTTAAATAATTTATAAAATTATAAAGAATTTCTTTAAGAGAAACATGTAATGTCGAGTATGATTTTTCGCAAAGGAAAAAAAAAAAGATATGAATGTGTTTAAAGAGAGTTGACCCTCAATTATTATGGTGGTGTCAAATCTAGATGTTCCTGTATGTAGTCTTGGAGAAAAATTCTATAAAATATACAAAAATGTGTTAGCTGTTGACTGCTTTCTATATTATGGTTTTTAAAGATTTCTATCTGTGGACAATGAGAGGCTACAATTAGAGAAAAAAGATAAAATAAAGCTAGACAATACTACGCATCAACTTATTATCATCAAGTGCAAGATCGTTATTAGAATTGACTCCACCATGGAATCGAATACCTTGTCCGTTTGAGTCATATTGGTTGAAAATTAAAAATTTACACACGCATAGGTCTTCTTTTCAATGAGAATAAGAACTGATCAATGAGAATAAGATCAAACTTAACATTTCGTATCGCATGCAACATAATCAGTAATTTTTACTCGTCGATACGCATGTACAAACTCAACTATTCGGCGCGATTGTTTCAGCCTGACAATTCAATCTTCGGGATCATCAGAGTTCATTGTGTGGAGACACTTAAGGATTTGAAAATATGTAAAAATTATTTCATTTTCTTTAACCTGTATTAAAAAACAGAATTCTTTTCACTCTTAGGTGTTAATAATAAATTCAAGAATCGCGCATTGCATCGGTCAAATATAATAATGCACGGATACGTTTTCTCTTTTAAAACGGCGATCCGGCACTTTCATAACGATGAACAAACATTTGCGAGATTAATCTTCGCTAATAAAATATCACCCGTTGAATCAATTCCGACGCACTAATCGTATCAGTCCTCTCGTATCGTGTTAACTCTTTTTTTCCCCTTCCTCGATGGACGTGTCAATCAAAAAGTTCTCGTCGTAAGCGCTAACATTGTTGTTTGATAAGTTTTGCGGACTAAGATCAAGTCTGTAATTATGCTTTAATGCATATTGAGCACACCGAGCCAGCTTTGTGCGCTTCGACGCTCACGGTGGTGATCTGCGTGATATACGAACTGATATTCTTACTCTCAAAACAACATTCAGAGCTTCCACCTCTCTCCTTATTTGCTATAAGTATAAAAAGTTGGTAAGCTGCAAAAATATCATCATCATCATCATCGTCATCGTCGTCGTCGTCATTATCGATTATCGAAAAATTAGGTATGTATGTATCTAAAAAGGATTTAGAAAATAATATACGGCGTGCTGAGAGCTGCCGAATGCGCAAACCGCTTTAACGTTCAAAATGCATATTCGACTGACTCTTCCTATCTTCTCTTGCCCTCGTACAATGGCATCTCGTCGAAACTCTCTCTCTCTCTCTCTTTAAAGATTATCATTGGAATACAAGTCGTATAAATAGGGAGATCACGGGAAAAATAGAGTAACTTTGTCCGATTGTTATCAAACCTATGAAATACACGCTTGATGTAACGCGTTTTGAATCACCATGCAAACTCGCGCTATTCCCATTGCGATGATGATAACTCGATCCTTCGGATTAGCAAAGACGCGCGAAGGTACTTCTCTTCAAATGAACGAGGACTTTCATCGATTGTTATCTGTCGGCGATTCTTCCGATCCGCGGAGATAGAGAATTTCTACATAGTGACATATTGTCGTACACGAAGACGCGCTGTCTTCAATGAGACGGTGAGACAGCGACAACGATTGCCGACAATCCCCAGCGCGGAATGTGTCCCACGCGCTTCTTTCAGAGAGAAACAGAAATCACTCTAAAGATTGGTGCTCTCTTGCTCCGACTTAGGCCGTGCCGTGGGCGGTGGCGGTGGCGGCGGTTGCGGCCGCGGTGGTCGCTGATGGAATCTCGGCGAAGCCGGCACATTCTGCTGCGGCGACCTGACGATCACCCTCGCGTCAGTCTGCGTCTGCACGTCGATAATGTTGCCTTCCGATCTAGTGCGCGCGTGAGCTTTCGCTTGCTCGACGCACGACGCTTGATACGACTGCTCCGCCGGCCTCGCCGCTTTCTCCTCGCGGCGTTCGGAGCCGTACAGAGATATAGAGGACGGCCGGCTACCCACGCTTGGGCTTCTCTGCAAGTTCGAAGTTGCCGTGTTGCCAATGCTCTCGCCCGATGTGGACAACGCATTGCTGTTGTTCCCACGCACTTGTATTATACTGACCTGCTGTTTGTCCACGGAGTATACGTGCGCCCGTTCCAGCGTTAGAGGCTGCGGACGGTTCAATGAGAGAAGAATTATTAATTTAGCCAACGACCGGCGACGAGTGTGTATATGCGTATGTGTGTAACGGCGATTACTACACGGATAGCAACAAGCGTAACGCGCGTGAGGAAGCTTTGTCGGACATTGTGTGCGGTTGTTTATTTTTCCCTTCTTCTTTTTTAATTCGTAATATGTTGCTTACTGCGTAACTTTATGTCAATATGCAATATCCAGGCAGTGTTATTTGTTGTCCACTCTCTTGTAATAACTATATATGCTTATTATAATAAAAAGTTATCAATCAACAATGTTCTCGCTGCGTTAAATTGTCTCCACTCACCCCTGGATCGGTTTCTAGATTTTCGTTACTATGACGTGGATGTTGTCTGATGAGGCTCGACGGACGAACCAGACAAGCCGGCCGCTCGGGGATCGCCGGTTTGCTGCTTCTGTCACCCGATGACTGTACATTCGTCACGGTGTTATCTGACTTTTTACGCAATTCGACCGCATCTTCTGCAACGATAAGACAAATTAGACCTAGGCATACGTTATCACTAAAATGACAAAACAAATATCATTATAGTACGGAGCGACATTAGTTTATTACACTTATCTTTTGTCGTAAGAGATGACACACATTACCTGTTGCATGCGTAATATTTGTTATATTTCTAGGTGCTGCTATCGGTCTTCTCCTCTCCAATGTGGATGGCTTTTCTGTAGGCACTGGTTTTGGCTTTTGCACCGTACTTTCATTGTGCTCGACTTCCACAGTCGATCTCGCGACATTCTCGGCCGAGACTCCGCTTGGTCTCTCCTTTGTGCTCGGTGCACTCACTTTCGCGTCGCATCTTTGCAATTCCGGGATGCTCTTCTCTACATCGCTTAAATTGAACACTTCGCTTTGGTGAGTACTGGTCTCCTGCGATCGCTCGCAATTGTCCGCAAGATGAAGATCCGTCGACGTCGGCTCCGCGACCGATTGCTTTGCGTCCGTTTCCGCATGCCGCTCCGCCGTGTCATCGTGTTGTCCTCGCGTCGATTCGGCATTCATCTCGTACTTGTGAGCTACTTTATGCGATGTTCGAGTCAACGTGCCCAACGCTAAGATTCTCGGCGGCTTGTCCGGCGTCGGTGGTGGTTGTCTGTCGTCGCATCTCCTCTCGTGTTTGTCCGGAGTGTTGCCGCTCGGCGGCGTCGGCGCTGGTTTGTTCTTTCGACGCGCCGCCGGCTTCGGGCTACCTTGCGGCGGACTCTCACCGTGATCGCTGAGACTAGTATTGGACACGCAACGGCGCATGCCGACAATCTGATTCTCCGAATCGCTCGCGATGCCCACTTCTAGGTCGCGATCGAAATCCACCTCGCCCGGGAAGAACCAGTCCGCGTATGTAATTAATTGGTCTACTATAAGACTAGAGTTGTTCGCTGTACTCATATTCATCCTGCGGTAATAAAGAAAACGCGCATATTACATCATTGTAGAGCAGAATACGTAAGTATGAACAGTTTTGCAACATTTAATTTTCCAGTGGAATTTTTCCAGGCGACTGTTCTCTTATAAGTATCGAGTATTTTACACAAGATTGCTCACACTATCGTATTTGCATCCTCTTGTGGACTCCAAATCAGGTTTGGGGCAATGACAATAGCGATATTCTGCGGTGACATCTTATTTACATCCTGATTTTTCGTGAGCACAGCCAGAAATTTAATTAGAAACCGTAGATTCTCCAAATTCGCTGGCGGTAATTTATGCAACACTTCCCAGAGAGCTCGTAATCTCGTATCGCTGTGTGCGAGTTTTGCAGCAGCCATCCATTCGGGATACAATCTAAATGATCACGTTACATGTGACAACATATAGTTATACGTATAGACATGTTATACGCGGTATCGCTGTAGCGCGATAGCAATTATCAATTTCACGATAATCGATACTCACTTGTATGTTAATAGAGGTTCTGGTAATTCTCGTAAATATGATTTTAACGCGCCAGCGATTACGTGTGGATCTTTATATTCTAGAGCCCTCGGTAGCGTGAGGCAGCATGCGTCTAAACTTAATTTAATCCGCCGCGACTTGGATGCGGCGCCGGCTATTCTAAAGAGACCTTCCTCTTCCATACCCAAACGCAACAACACGGACACACACAATTGTATGGGTAGCGCAATTTTCCTGTTTGTTACCCTAAGATGTTCCTCGAGAGGATACCCGTATACCGGTTTCATTTCATTGTCATCTGCAACCGATCGTTGTATGAGCGTCTTTCACCCTCACTCGTGAGATTCTATTTCGCTAACGATTATAACGAACAATAACAAGCGCTTCGACAATGGTATCCGTATACTCGAAAGAAAAACTCACTGATATAACTTTCTAGTCCAGGTATAAGATCTTCAAGGCAATGCAATGCACTTTCGTGGTAAGCTCGCTGAAGTTTCACATATTGGATAATCGTTTGTGCCAGTTCCGTTTCGCGCGACATGAGCTGGAACATCTCCGCGGCTAACTGATCTCTGCACTGTTCAACTTTTGATTCAGCCTCTTCTAATTCTTCCCTCAAGTTATCTACTTTTGTCGCACCTGTACCTATATGCATAGTCAAGTGTTAACGGTGATTCAGAAGAATCCACAAAAATGTTTATTTATAAAAAAACAAAATAAACTCCGATGATTACCGGCGCTGTGTTTACTCGCTTGAAGATATCTCGTTCTGGCACTGTCCATGTCCAATGTTAGACGCGCTAAATTTCTCTTATGTTTCAATATATTTGGTACATCGGTATCTAAAATGTGTTGTAGCGGAACGGCTACATATTGCTCAACTTTTGCTTCATGTTCCACAGTTTCATTAGCCAATGACATTTGTGCTCTCCCGCATTCTAACAGTGCAAAACTCATGAGACCATCCTCACCAGCATTCTCCAACATAGTTTGTCCAAGTACATATTCGTGGCATTTTTTCTGCAGAATGAGAATTTAACATATAATAATCATCTGGTAAATATCTCATAAAATTAGCATCCTATGCTTACCAAACGTTTCTCTTTAAAAGCCTCTTGTGTGACTGTTTGATTCGGTGGATTCCCAAGTCTCTTACTAAGACCAGTAAGAGCCGCTCTGATTTGTTCAACATGTTTATCAGCAGCTTGTAGATCATCCGTCAACATCTCCGTTTTCCCTGCCCTGTTCACGAACAAAAAATAATTTCATCCAGATATCTCTTATCTGATACAACAAAATCTTATCTTTTATCTTTTGCCTACATTTTATCTTCCTTAATCTAGCCATCACAGCTTAATCTGGTTAACTGATGTATTAATATCAAATACTTAGTAACTTACTAAATGAAAGAAAATTGCAAAGTGATGATTAAGTAAAGAAAGAACATATCTAAGGGAACTGATAACCGATAAATATGCAACAGAGGTAATCAATTACCTGGAGAAGGTCTGATCGGCGAGCTGCTTGACACGGAAAAACTGCTTCTTCATGGCTGGTTGATATTGTCGACAGCACGAGTGAAATCACAGCTGAGTGCCAAACCGCCTCGTACCACCTCGTATCTTTACGCATCGACGCCCTTCGACTTGGCGCGTTTATGCACGTGCATCCTCCGCGGGTCTTTCGCCGTCGTGCGGCACCAGAAATACGCGGGAGAGAAGGAAGGGAGGATCCTTCGTGACGGAGCAAGGGCGAACGTCCGTCATAATGTTTGTACAATGATCTCACAGCTTACGCGAACGGTCACGGGCAGGTTTACGGCCAAGCTATTTTCGCGCACCATCGATAACGTCCAGCGATAAGGGCCGGATCGGTCTTTTTCACGGCGAATTTGGGTTAGGTCAGTCTAACTTTGCACTTTGCAGTCTCCCTTTCGCTTTGTCTCACTTTAGATTACGACCTCAAGTGCGATATAGACAATCCGTTTAACCGAGATCAAACGCCCGGCGATCGCATCGATACGATTGGTTATGTGGTACCTTCAGTCATACTGAGCGATCAGTCGAGAATTCTTCAAGCACGCGACATCCAGCTTTTCAATGTTCCTCTTGTTTCGTCACGTAAAGCACGGGGAATGACGATATTCGCGGATTATTCGGCTTCGTTCCACGCGCAACGCGATCGGCCTGAAGCTCACCGTATTGGGTACACCGCCTCTTCACTGTTCCACCCGCCAAACCGAACGACATTCAACGTTGATGTTTTCACTTTTCACGGTAGCCTCTCGACGGGTACACGATTTTCCCAATAACACGACGACACGGATGACGAACCTGTCGAACACGCGTGAAATCGCACGCCCGTTTTAATGCCCGTTTCTTTCCACCAACTTTGGTTTTAACTGCGGTTTAGTAAAACCACGAATAAAGTTAACTCTCAATTTAACATCAACTGGTTTCTACGAACACTTCCCCCAGAAGAGTTTAGTTAAACCACCGATGAGATGATACTAAAGACCGTCAGCCCTGGGTAAATTTTCATATTGGCAAAGGGGCACCGAGGGGCCCGGCAATAATTCAAGACTGATGACTGTACCGGCAGAGAGAAGAATGAGAGCGGCCACCGGCCGTATTTCGGGGGATACGGCTAGGCGCATTTTAGATACGCCATCTGACCAAAATGCGCCTAAACTACGTCCGCTAGGCGCACTTTCACGGTGATAAAAGTAAAATGCGCCTAGGTTCGTGTCCGTACTACTTCCATGCAATGGATAGTAGATTAGAAAAAGACAGACGATAGACAATCGTTCCGTCTTTGTCTCACTACTGAGCGGCGCGCGGCAGTAAACACGAGGCGAGGTAGCGGCGATCTTATCGCTAAGCGAACATCTCTCCGCTTTTCTTTCATCTTTCACGCTCCAGAGACATCAAAAGACGCGGTAGCGTCTCGTGTCAAGGGAACGTGCGAAGCGAGGAATTATTTTTCACGCACGCGAGGTAGCACATGGGAGACTAGACGAGCGTCGACATATTATCTGTTTCTTTCCCGCTCGTCTAGCTTATTGACTGCGTGAGTCGCGAGATTTTTCTCGCTACTCCTATACCTCCCTCTTTCTCTCTCTCTCTCTCTCTCTCACTCGTTCTTTCTCTCTCTCGCGCACTTGTTCGCTCTTCCTCTCTTCTCGTGTTCTTACGGCTTGGTTAAATATATAATATAATTACATGACAATATATATATATAAATAAATGACACATATATAGTGTATATGTATATAAAGAATATTTAGTATTAATGCACAAATAAAGAAGAGAGAATTATAATGAGAGACGAAAAGTTAATAGAAATCCACTCTTAGCCAATATATACATCTTTTAAAAATGATTTGTTATTAAAGTATATGACAGAATAATTTATTTATGCTAATAAATTTAAATTAAAAATTAAATGAAATGTTATTTGTTTTGTAAAAGATATTCCATTGTTACATTTTTCTTTTCGTAGCAAAAATAAATTTAGTCTAGTAAAAGAAGAAATTAGTTTTATTATCATATTTCAATTACGACTTTATTATTTAATTTTACGAATAGATAACGTGCATATTGTTGCTCAACGGAAACCGCGAGAAAATGGTGATCTCCGTCAAAAAATAAATGCAAACTTTTTAATAATATAATAATCTTTTTACGTAAGTGTTTGTTTTTATAGTATAACCTGTTGAATTTTATTAATTATTAATTCAGCATGTTATAGTATAAAAAATATATTTTAATATAAAAATTAATGTAATATTCATTGTTTGCATCTGCAAGAAATATGGATAGAACAGGATAGGTTGCAATGATACATAGGAAGAAAAAAGATAGATGGATAAATAGATAGATAGATAGATATAGAGATAGATATAGATGGATAAATAGATAGACAGATAGATGGATAGATAGATAAATAGATAGATGGATAGATAGATATAGAGAAATAGATAGATAGTTAGATAGTATAGAAAAAAAGATAAATAGAAATATAATTATCATTATTATTATTATTAATGTTTTCAGTTTCAAGAGAACATTCGCTTAAACGTAAGTCTTACTTAGGTCCAGTTTCACGACTTATATTATATTAACCGGAATATACAATATAAATATTAAAAAATATATATATATTGTAAAAAAGAAAATTCCACAAATTTTATATTTATTCATTGTCAATTTCCGAAGTTTCCAAATCATTTCCTTTCTTAATTACGCGAAACGCAGTATGTGAAAGATGAAAGATAAGATCGCCGCTACCTCGCCTCGTGTTTACTGCCGCGCGCCGCTCACTAGTGAGACAAAGACGGAACGATTATCTGTCGTCTGTCTTTTTCTAACCTACTATCCATTGCATGGAAGTATACGGACACGAACCTAGGCGCATTTTACTTTTATCACCGCGAAAGTGCGCCTAGCGGACGTAGTTTAGGCGCATTTTGGTCAGATGGCGTATCTAAAATGCGCCTAGCCGTACTCCCGAAATACGGCCGGTGGCCGCTCTCATTCTTCTCTCTGGTACCGGTTATGATTTTAGCTACAGTTACCACAATGGGTGCATTCAGTACTACAACCGCTCACTGAGCGCTAAGTGACCTCTTGCATCTGATTGGTGTATATTTTTAAATCTAAAGGGATATATCAATCAAATGCACAGATGTCAGGCCTGTGACGAAAGTGAGACAAATATAGATTTTCTCACTTTAACTTATTACACTAGTTCAGCAGTGCAGCAAAAACGAACAGACCTTATACTATACTAGATTGCTAACTTCGATCTTTGACCTATACAAGAGCTGTGTCCCGCCTATTTTCCGGTTCGGCCATGAAGACCGCCAAAACATGGCGGCAGTGTGTGTTTGTAGTGCGTACGTGAATATCCGATGCGTGTGTAGTAGTGCTGTACTGTAAGTATGTGATACCTGATGTGTCTACACTGATGTGTCGTATCTATTGCTATTTATATTAGTAAAACTGCAAATATATAAACGAGATAATGCCAAGTACATGTTGCATTGTTAATTGCAATAATACGAATAAAAAAGGATATCACTTATTTAAGTAAGTAGAATACATTTATATATAATAAATGTTCGAGGTTTGTAATATGTAAGGGTTATCTTGCAATTAAACATTGTTAATATTATTAATATTATTAATATTAGAATGTATTCACTTACAAAAACAACGAAAGATAGAAATCCTGCAAGTAACAGACACAAATTTACAAAATTAATATTATTTAATAACACATAAGTTGCATTTTATTCTTTATATGTATGTAAAAAATATTAATACAAATACTTTGACATATTTTGAACTGTATATATTCAATTTAATTTTAACCTTTACCAAACACTTAGATTAGCAACACCTTATTAATACACACATCTTTAAATGATATTCTTTCTTGTTCGTATTTTTGAAATTTACAATACTTATTCGGCATTATCTCGTTTGTAGATTTGCAGTTTTACTAACATAAATAGTAATAGACACATCAGGTGTCACATACGCATTACCACGCACTACTACATACGCATCGGGTATTCACATACACACTACAAACACACACCGCCGCCATGCTTGGCGGTCTTCATGGCCGAACCGGAAAATGGGCGGGACACAGCTTTTTTGAGAAGTTAGCAATCTAGTATAGTATAGACATCTGTGATCAAATGTAAAAGCTCATTGAGCGCTCAGTAAGCGGTTGTAGTACTGAATGCATCCAATATATGTACCATAATGTATTTTGATTATCATAACGATACAAATTAACGATAATATAAAAATATCACTTAAATATATCTATTGGTCTGTTCTTTGTAGCTGCACTGTTGAACTGGTGCAATAAGTTGAACAAAGTGAAACAAATATAGGTTTTCTCACTCTAGGGCCGATATTCATACACCCGTATTTATAGTCAGCCTTATATTTAAGGCTTCCTTAAGTTTATCTTCAGATGGTCTATAGCCAATAAAATAATCCGTGCAGCATCTAAAGATGGATATAAGGAGGCCTCAAATATAAGGCCTAACTATAAATACGAGTATTAAGCCAGCGGCACACGATGCTTGTTTTCGTGCTGGATTGCTTGCTGGATGAAAATACTGCGTTCTGATTGATGCATTTCCATCCATCTTCAAAAATATACCAATCACAACGCAATATTTTCATCCAGCAAGCAATCCAGCACGAAAACAAGCACCGTGTGCCGCTGGCTTTAGTCAGGTCTTATTTTTAAGACCGTTTCAAGTTCACTTTCAGAGCCTTCCATAGCCAATGAAATGATTTGTACAGCATCTGAAGATAAACTTAAAGCGTGGTCTACAATGGCAGTAAGCAGTAAGAAGTAAGCGTAAGCGGTAAGAAATAAACCAATCACAGTCGATTATGACAAAAATAATCAACTGTGATTGGTCCATTTCTTACATGTTCACGCTTTCTTCTTACTGCTTACGGCCATTGTAGACCACGCTTAAGACAGTCTTAAATATAAGAGGGCCTTCTACAATAAGCAATTAGGACCGGTTGTTCCAACTTCTTGGTAAGTTAACTGACAGTTAAATTATATGTCTGTCTTTGCCCAAGTTGAAGGAAAAACAAAGACAAACGTATGATTTAACTATCTGTTAACTTACCGAGAAGTTGGAACAACCGGCCCTTAGTCATAAGCTATAAGCAAATTGACCAATCACAATTGATTATTTCAAAAATAATCGACTGTGGTTGGTCAATTTGGTTACAACTTGTGACTATAATAATAGCTTATTGTAGAAGGCCCATAAGATTCGACTATGGGCCATATTCATAGTCCGGTCTTATATTTAAGATCGTCTTAAGTCCATCTTCAGATGCTGTATAGATCATTTCATTGGCTACAGAATATTTGAACGTGAACTCAAGACGGTCTTAAATATAAGATCCGACTATGAATACAGCCCTATGAATACCGGTCTAGTTTATTGCTCCAGTTCAGCAGTGCAGCTACAAAGAACAGACCAATTATTATACGGCCGGTTGCACACGGGATGCAGCTTTACTGCGGAAGTTACTTCGGGAAGGGACATCGCGGTAGCCAATCAACGTCCAACATGCCGCATGTTTTGTAAACACTATGGGCCAGAGCACAGACTTCTGCATAACGCATAATACACAACGCATAAGAGAATCAACCAATCAGAGTTCTTCATTTCTGTCCTGAGGAGGGAAATGAAGAACTCTGATTGGTTGATTCTCTTATGCGTTGTGTATTATGCGTTATGCAGAAGTCTGTGCTTTGGTCCTATTTCCGGGCAAACAAGATGCTGAATGGCACCACAGTGCTCGCTCGCGCGAGCGACGTCGTTTCGTCGTTTGGATTATTTCCTAACGTCTGTCATACGCTGACAATTTTTTAATTTATTGTAAAATGTGTTCGGAATTAGAGCGACTTGTGATTTTCTTAAATTTTTCTTCATCTTTATCGCGATTAAACCTGATTAAATATTTCTGCGTTGTCCTGTCATTGGTAGAAATGGGCATTGGTTTAGGTTGGTTGGTTCTATTTTTGGCTCCGGACTGTTCCGAAACAATGTCCATACGCCATTTTCCAGGGCATTGGTTTAAGTTTGGTGAAAATCAACTTAAAGGTAAGCGATGTACCGATGAGCGATTAATCGACTTACGATAAAAATGGTGGCGTTTCATAGCGGAGATTTTGGATTTTGTAAACTTCTATCTCCGCTTCCTGCGGCCGATCATGGGCAATTTCTGAGTCACGCAAGTTTCGCTGCAGCTACAATTGGCAACTGTCATCCAAATGGCTAGTGGCACTTTGTCGCCAGAGGATATATCGTACGATTTCGACATCCAAGTGTTAAAAAAGAATGTGCCAAGCTCTTCGATCGAGCTCGAACAAGTAGAAACCGACACCCGACACCCGGAAACGTCTCGATGAATTGTGATCAGTCGCGATGACAGTTGCTTTCACGATGTAATTGGCAGCCGTTTGTTCAACATGGATTACGACGAGGATCTATCGGAGAATGAATTCCTGCAGGAGCTCAGGCAGCAACACGCAGCCACGCTTCAACAGGTTATCCAGGAGGGTTGGATTATCTGCGTGCCACGCAGTGGAAGTTTCAGCAACTGTAAAATTCAGAAGGATGAGATTAGTGCTCACGTGCTGATTCCCAGACGGGATCTCTTTGCTGCGCAATTCGACACTCTAGATGGCAAGGAAGTTCTGCTCATGGACAGGATCCTCACCATCAAGCACAACACGCAACAATACTCTACACGTCTGCTCTTTGAGGAAACCTTCTACAACAACGATCTGCGCAAATATTGCATATGGTAAGCGTATGTTTCAGCATATCAAATTCTGACTGATTGAACAACGTTGCTTTCCACAGGTGCATAGAACAGCCTTTGGATACTAACATGTGTATCACAGACACCTGTACAAGCAAGATCACTAATCTCCAGGAAGCTGTGAACTTTCTTCAGATGGAACTACTGGAGAAAGAACTGTGCGGTGACTTTGAGACCAAGATCAAGGATTTCTTGTGCATTAATAAGGATCTAAATTGTGAACCAGTGCAAACACAGAGAGATCTGGTGTATGATTTATACACAGACTGTCTCAGGATACTATTGGAGAATGCAACATCGCGGGAGAAAGTGTTAAGTAGTAGACATTATTACTGGAGTATACGAGTATCGCTAGAGACATATATTCTATACATTTTACGACATATACTATTAAAGTCACTGTCTGCTGGCACCGCAGCTGAAGACGCGTCCTTGAACAAGATCACGAGGAATCTGAACGAAATTCGACTGGATGATCTCCGAATACGCCCAGATTTGCAGTCATGCGTCGACGGTGGAAGATTGGAGTTGTCGCGATTGGATTGCTTCGTGACTGTATTGGGCAAGATCGAGTGTCTCAGACGAACCGTTAATTACGTATCTCGCGGAAGCTCGTCCATCGTCTCGTCGGATGATCTTCTCCCGGTGCTCATGTACCTCGTTATCAAGGCTGGATTGTCGAATTGGACGGCGCAGTTGGCTTTCATGCAGGAATTCCGTTTCTCCGCGAAGTCTGTCCACGAGACGGACGAGGGCAGCTTCCTGATCACATCGTTGGAAGCCGCGATAAAACACATCAAGTCCGGAGCGATTTCGAGAAATACTCCGTATGCAGAATCCAAGAAGCAGACGAAGCAGGACGCTGACGCTCTCATAGCAACGCGTAGCATTACACCGGAACAGCCGTCTGTTGAGCGCTTGTTCGCGTGCATCGAGAAAGGCGAATTGGCCGAAGTCGAGAGGATATTGGCTCGCGAGGAATCCAAGCAGCCGCACGACGCCACTCTCTGCCATCCTCTGTGCACCTGTGCGTCTTGCGAGCGAAATTGGGCGCGCCAGCGGGACTTGAAGACGTATCCCAAGGATGACAGAGGGCTCACACCGTTGCACATGGCGGTGTTGTGCAATCAGATGACGATCGTGGATTACCTCCTGGACCACGACATAGACATCAATGTCGCCGACTCCGACGGACTGACGGCGCTTCACCACGCGTGCATCCACGGCCACCAAGGCATCCTGCTGCACATGCTGCACGCGAACGCGGATCCCACGGTGACGGACTCCGCCGGCAACACGCCACTGCACTGCGCCACGGAGCGCGGTCACGAGAGCTGCGTGAAGGCGTTGCTCTATCTGTCGGAGCAGATGAAGGTGCCGGTGGACGTGAATGCCAGCAACGACAATGGTGACACGGCGCTGCATCTCGCCGCCAGATGGGGCTACGTCGCGACCGTGCGTATCCTCTTGGAATGCGGTGCGAACTGCAAGCTGACTAACCGAAAGGGTCAAACGCCGCTGACGGTAACATACAGCAGGTACATCGCCAAACTACTCGAATACTACGCCAACATCTGTACAGCTGACTCCTTGCAGCCTCGGCGCGCGACGTTTTCCTCGCAAGCTGCACAGAAGCAGAGCAGCCAGAGCGGCGCGTCGCTACCGGAGCATCGCGCGATAGACAGACTTCTCGCCGCCATCGTCGAGGGTGACACGTGCTTGGCCTGTTATTATTTGGGCCTGGAGGTTTACCGCGAACGGCTACCAGATGTACGCTGCGCGGTCGACGGCAGGATGTGCCATCCGCTGTGCAATTGTGAGCGATGCTCGGCGATCGGCGAGACCCTGCTGAAACGGTGCAAACGACGACGAGCGCTCCCGATCAACGCTTGCAACAATCTTGGCGAGACCGCGTTACACGTCGCCGCGGCGACCGGCCGCACCGACATGGTGCGACTGTTGCTGGACGCCGGTGCGAATGTTCACATGACCACCGTGTCCGAAGGCCGCTCACCGCTGCACCTGGCTTGCCTAAACGGCAACGTCGATTCGGTGAAGCTGCTATTGAACTGCGCGACCTGCCACGTGGACGCTCAGGATTACGATGGCAATACGTCTTTACATCTGGTGACTCAAGCCGGCAATGCGAAACTCGTCGGTCTGCTACTCAGACACGGCGCGAACGTCGACGCTCGCAATCGACACGACATGACGCCGTTGCAGCAGCTGGAACTGGAAATGTCTGGCGTACTCTCCGCGAATTATGTCGACGTGTTGAAGATGCTGAAGCGAAACTCACCGCAGCCACCGAATCCGGCGTTCGACGATTGATTTGTATTCCGTAGAGCAGAGTTTTTTACTCTTTCTTTTTTTCAGATACCTCACAGTTCTTTTATATATATGTATATATGCGGTAATAGATTTTTAATTTTAACATGATGTTAACGTGCTTTCACATAAGTGAGTTTTCGTTCTTATCGTATTAGTATTAGTCACTCCGATAATGCCGTGCCAATCGTGTGTCCAAAAGTAGATCTCACGTGAAAAGTTTGTCATGTGAGACTCGTTTCTTCAAATTGCTTGTGCACTACCGTCGTACCGTGTAATTACTCAGCTATACTTGTGCCGTACAATAGTAACGTATGTAGTGAGAACAAAAGAGATGTCATGTAACGAGTCAAATCAGATAATTTTATATATACATATATATTTTGTTATATAATATTTATATAGAATCGATACACACACACACACACACACAAACACATGTGAAGACTGTATTAAAACAATAAGATTTTTAAATTATTTGTTTTGTATGAGATATAGTATATATATATATATACATACATATATATATATTTATATATTTATACATACGCGATATGTACGATTTGTGCTGTATGTATGTGTTTATCATTCAGACGTTTTGTCATAGTCATTCCATTTTCAAGTTTGAGCAGTAAAAGTCTGAATGACGCTTGTATCCACCGCTAAATGCTAATCGCCAATGATTTTATCGCTAATATTCTCTGTAGTATTCTAGCATATGCTAGAAAAATTTTTCTTCCGATGTACTGTTGAAAGGCCACGGAAGTGGCCTTTCTCCTGAATCATGGTTTACTAATCGCTATGTATATACGCGATAATAAAAAAATTATATTTGGTGATATATAAATGTGATTTGCTTCTACGTATAATTTTGTATGATGGTACGAGGTATATATAATATCGCTTCAATTTATACATTCGTTTGAATTCTCCACGTTCCTTTTGCAAGGAACCAACCTTAATAATCGAATCGAATTCTATTGTTTTAAGGTTGGCAACATTTGATGACAAGGAAGACGGATGTATTACTCTCGAGTAGTACAACTCAACGACGAAATAGACGATTTGTTATTTTCAAATGGTATCGACACGTAATTTGTGAGTAAATTGATACTTGAAAAGCGCCTTCGAAATTAATTGATAAAGGAACGTCTCGTGTCGATCATTGCTATAACTGTACATTAATCTCGAGAACAGGTGAGATTATTTGTATCAGCTTTGATTTCTTGGTTATTTCTCTCTTATTACATTTCGATGACACCGGCGTTTTGCTGTGTGTAGATATATTGCGTCATTGTTTTATAATCATTCACTAATTGGCGTTTTCCCCAAAATATTTTGATGATTAGTTTGACGATAACTTTGTAATTAACACTTCTGTCCTGTACATTCCATGCAAACATTATTTTCTCATTCCTTTTAATATTGAGGTTAATATGGTACAATGTTTTGAAGTGGAATATCCGTTAAGTATTTTGTCCATTGGTGTTTCATGTATAATTTAAGTTTAATTGCAAATACGTGAGTGGTAAGTATACAATACCTTTGTAAGTGTTGCGTGTCTATGTTATTATTAATATATATCTAAATGTCAAATTGTGTAACCGACTAAGAAAATCTTGAACTATATAATTGACATGCTCTTTCGTATTATTTTCAGATATAATTTTCTGCTATTTTACACACAAGATTGTTCCAAAATGCTGAGGCTCTTAAAGTTATCACGCAACTCTTCTTTAAGGAATACTGCTTTACAGCGACATGTCAAGCACCGTACTTTTTCTTTGTCAGTAAAACAGAAACAAAATGAGTTGAATAAATTCAAGAAGGGTGAAATTCTCCATGGATTCATAGTGGACGAGGTTGCCAGGATAGATGAATTGTTCCTCACTGCATTCAGATTATCACATCTAAGTACAGGTGCACAATATCTGCACTTGGCCAGAGATGACACAAACAATGTATTCTCCATCGGATTTCGCACAACTCCTATGGATTCCACTGGCTTGCCTCATATATTGGAACATACCACTCTGTGTGGTAGCGAGAGATATCCCTGTAGAGATCCATTCTTTAAGATGTTAAGGAGATCCCTGGCGACATTTATGAATGCTATGACAGGACCAGACTTCACTATATATCCTTTCTCAACACAAAACCTAAAGGACTACCGCAATCTGCAGTCGGTCTACTTGGACTCAGTTTTCAAACCGAATCTAAGAGAGCTGGATTTCCGTCAAGAAGGTTGGAGACTAGAACACACAGACGTCAACGACAAGAACTCATCCATCGTATTCAAGGGCGTGGTATTCAACGAGATGAAGGGCGTCTTCAATGATAATCAGGCTATTCTTGCTGAGCATATGCTGAATTCTATTCTACCGAGTCACACATACTCTGTAATCTCCGGCGGCGACCCTCTCGTCATTCCCAGTTTGGAGTATAGCGATCTGCTCAATTTCCACCAGAAGTACTACCATGCCTCGAATTCGCGCTTCTACTCGTACGGAAATTTCCCCTTGGAGGAACATCTCAAGTTCATCAACGACCGGTATCTGTTTCTCTCCGATCGAATAGATGCCTCCATGTCGGCGGTGCCGCCGGAGAAACGATGGAATGAGCCTAGAAAGGAGCATATCGCCTGCAGACCCGATCCAATGCTTGCTGACACCAGCCGTCACGGCACCATCGCCATCGCGCACTTGTGCAACGATATCACTGATATACAGACAACTTTCGAGATGTACGTACTTTCGCAGCTGTTGCTGAAAGGCCCGAATTCAGCATTCTACAAGTCCCTGGTCGAGTCAAATGTGAGCACCGGCTTCGGTCCGGTCACCGGTTTCGATTCGCAGTGCAGAGATACAATGTTCGTCGTGAGTCTGCAAGGCGTGAAACCAGAGGACTTCGGCAAGGTGCAGGATATCTACGACGACACTGTAAATAGAGTTATCGAAGAGGGATTTGAGAAGGATCACGTCGAGGCAGTTTTGCACGGCATTGAACTTCAGGTGAAGCATCAGACGTCGAACTTCGGACTGAACTTGCTATTTAATTTGACATCCTTGTGGAATCACAACGGCAACCTGATACAGGCGCTGAGAATAAACGACGCCGTCAAGATACTCGCGTTGCGGATGAAAGAGAATCCCAAGTACTTGCAAGGTTTGATCGAGACTTACCTGAGGAACAACAATCACAGATTGACTTTAACGATGTCACCCGACGAAAAGTACGAGCAGAACAAAGCGGCCGCCGAGCAAGAGCTGCTCAGAACCAAGTTGGAAAAACTCACTGAGGAAGAAAAGGAGCATATATACGTCAATGGTAAGATCCTGCTCGCCGAGCAGCAGAAGAAAGAGGACGTCGGAGTTTTGCCGACCCTGAAGATAGAGGACCTGAAGGCTGACGTGGATAGATACGAAACGTCGAGTTTTGAGATATCTGGAGTACCGTTACAACTGTCGATACAGCCGACGAATGGGATCTCTTACTACCGAGGGATCCTGAATACACGTGCGGTGCCGGACGAACTGAAGAAGCTCATACCGCTATTCAACTACGTAGTCGCGAAGATGGGCACACGAAACTACGACTACCGCACCTTCGATCAGATGACGCAGTTAAAGACCGGCGGGCTGCACTTTATGAATCACGTGGCCGAACACAAGGAGAGCGAGCTGAAGTACGAGGAGGGTGTTCTCGTGGAGTCATACTGTCTGGATCGCAACTCGAACGACATGTGGCGTCTGTGGAGCGAATTGTTCAACAATGTTCAGCTCACTGACCCGCAACGATTCGAGACGCTCGTGAAGATGAACGCGACCAACTTGATCAACAATATCTCGCACGCCGGTCATATGTACGCGATGAGCAGCGCCGCCAGCTTAGTCTCGCCGATCGCGCGAGTCAAGGAGAGTCTGTCCGGGCTGCGCTACGTGTCGAGAATGAAGAGGATAGCACAGACACGCGACTTGGCTCCCCTGATGCGCAGCATGCAGGAGATAGCGAGTCACGTGTTGAACAAACAACACCTGCGGTCGGCCATCAACCTGGCCCAGGAACGCAAGGACGACGTTCTGGAGGGTATTCGCGCGTTCTACGACTCGCTCCAAGGTGAGCCGACGAGTCCGCACATCCTCGCCGAGGACCGGAGCACCGAGACGTACGAGAGCGGCAATCACCATGTGCTGCCATACACGGTGAATTATTGCTCGAAAGCCATATTGACGGTACCCTACACGCACCCGGATTACGCGGTGCTGCGTGTACTTTCCAAACTGATCACGTCCACGTACCTGCACCCAGAAATCCGCGAGAAGGGTGGCGCTTATGGCGGCGGCGCAAAATTAACGTCCGAGGGAATCTTCTCCTTTTACTCATACAGAGATCCCAATTCCACACGCACCTTCGACCTGTTCGACCAGGCGTACGACTTCCTACTGAAGCATCCATTGTCGCAGAGCGACATAGACGAGGCAAAGCTGGGAATCTTCCAGCAGATCGACGCTCCCATTCCGCCCAGTAATCGGGGTATGACCAAATTCACTCATGGCATAACGGACGACGATCTTCAGCGGCAAAGGGAGCAGTTAAAGGCCGTGGCAAAGGAGCAGCTCTTACAAGCAGCTGAGAGATACTTGAAGCCGGGTCAACACGGTATCAGAGTTGGTCGTTCGCTCCTTGGACCCTCGAATAAGGACATCTTGAACAGATCCTCGGATAACTGGACTGTGTTGAATCAAGAAGAAGCCGGCCAGGCACGAGCTACCGAATAGAGATAGACATTAAGACACTGTTCTTGTTACTTTCGCGTTGATGAGACATTTTACATTAGGACATGCTAAATGCCATTTTCTTTACGCTTCACGTTTGGCACGTGTCGCAGGTCATTAAAAGCCGGAGATATTTGTTAATTCAATTGTATAATTTATGCTTATATTTTGTATATCAAATGTATAAATGAAAGAGATGAAAGAGATGAGAAACAATTGTTGTTGCAATTATTTCAATTCCTCTCTCTGCTTATTTTGTGTGAATTATATATTGTATATTTACATATCTGATGTGAGAGGAGGTTAAATTTAGATGAGTTTTATATATTTGGAGTTTTATATTGTTCATTAGATCAGATTCATTATTATTAGTAGATTTATTAGATTGCTTCTTTTGCTTATTCAGGCGCATGTATGGATACCAATACCGAAAAAAGATACTTTCTCGATGCGTTACGCTTGTTTTACGAAACTCAGTGGCTTCATAACATACCAGTGACCGAGATACTAACTCAAGGATGCTTGGATTCAATCCCCAGGGAATGGATGGATCATTTGCAAGTTTTGCAGAACGACGAACTCAATAATTTCGTAGTGGAAAAAATGACGAAGGTTGGTCAGCAGACATGAAAGGGAGACAGAGAAATTGAACCACACGTGATGAACATTCGCATATTCGATTATGTTTCAGTCGGAGTGGCCAGATTCCTTAAAAGCGTACGTTAATCATTGCAAAGTAACCGACAGGTTGTCGTCTACGCTCACGTTACCCTCCGCGGAATTGCCGCAGAATTTCAGAATAGGTCTCAGCCGAAAGAAACAACATGAAATAATGCATTTAGCTCGCTTAGTGCACGTGCAATGCAAGCCATACAATATCCAAACGATCATAGATTTGGGCGCCGGTCTGGTAAGAGATAGCGATAACATTAAAGGGAAAAGGTCTGGTAAGAGATAGCGATAACATTAAAGGGAAAAGGCAAAGTAGCAGCTCAAGAAAAGAAGTTCTCGCGTTACAACGCTATTTTTTCTAGGGATACGTGTGCCAGATGTTACATCATCTGTACGGTTATCAAGTCCTGGGATTAGAAAGGAAGGAGGAGAATGTGAACAGAGCCTGCACCAAGCAACGAACAGCGTATCCTGAGTCTTTGACCCACGTCAGATACATCCATTGCGACGTGACGTGCGATTCCGCCGATAGGATAGAATCCATTCTACAGCGAGAGTTTCCCAACACCACGGCCGCGTGTTTGATCGGTCTGCACGCCTGTGGTGATCTCAGCACGAGCGCGTCGAGGATCTTTCGCAGGATGAAATCTGCGAAACTGCTCATCCTTATTTCCTGCTGTTACCATAAACTTTCCATTTCCGACAGCGTGCGGACTCCGTCGCAGGAGAAGCAGTACTTCCGCAATTTCCCGATGTCCAACTGCCTACGGGAAGTCATCGCTACGCACAGCTTCGACGTGGGACAGTTTTTGCGAGTGCCCTTCTTGCGACTAGCGTGTCAGGAGTCGGTGGACAAGTGGCGCGGCATGTCCGGGGAGAAACACGACGAACATTCCTTTCACGTTCTCGCCAGAGCCGTACTTGAGTTGTACTCGCAACAGAGTAGGTGCCCGATGATGTTTATAACACGTGAATGCATGTGTATATTCAGCCACGCTGAGGCCAATTAATCGCGAAGATTAATCACCTTCCAGATAATCTCATTCTGAGGAAGAAGGTACGGAAAGGCACGAGAAAATCGCAGTGTATGGACTTTCAGACTTATGTTAAGGATTCACTGTTGAGATATGATCTGATGCCAAAATCGGACATGGATTTAACAGGTGAGTTTCAGCGACGAGACACAATCGGCTTTTGGAGGATTAATCATCAAAGTCATTTACTTAAGTTATTCTTTACGTGTAAAGGCGACGTAATCACACGCGATGAACTGGAGAGGGATATCTCGCGTGTATGGGAAAAGCAGAATGAAAGATTACGAGCTGTGGAGATTTACACTGGACTACAAATGATGCTGCAACTCCCGGCAGAGTCATTGGTCTTGCAAGATCGCTTGTGTTGGTTGCACGAGCAAGGTTTGGAAGCGATGATTGTGCCTGTGATGAACAAACGTCTGTCTCCTCGTTCGCACGCGATTGTATCTCATAAACGCTGAAGATTCTTTGCCACACACACACACACACAGCTTTTTTTCTATCTCCATAAATTAAAATTTTTCATACGTGTTTTATATGAATCTTCATGAGGTGAAAATTAAATAAATGCACAATTAAACATTGTCATGAAAAACATACAATATATTTAAACATAAAAACATACAATATATTTATTTGACTTTTTTTTCATGAAATAAATTACACATTACTGACGATATGATTTTGCTACGTTTAATATCAAGATTATTAGTTAGATATCATATCAGAGCGTTCACACATTATAGGTATTATTGTATCAAATCCCCCATAGATATTACGATATATACTTATCTGTAAGGATGGATTTGTGATGCCGCTTTAATATTCGTCTTTATTGCACCCGGTGCCTTGTTTATTTGTCCCACTGTAAATTATCAATTTGAGTTATTGCAAGTGTATCATCATCGTCGAGAGAAAAGAAACAGAAATCTTCAGAAGAATACTTACGCGGTGGGTTGCCCAGAGGCCCTTGTCCTGGTGTTTGCTGTTGATTACTAGGTCTACCCACCATCATGCTATTAGCTACTGGATTCACGCCCGACTGTACCATTTGTATGGAATCAGACTACAAGTGCAAAAAAAACATAGACAATATATTAGAATTGGCAGTTGCAGTAGAACGGAAAATAAACGGGAAAATAGCGGATCTCTGTAAATTTAGTCATACTATGTTCCATTTTTTTCTTTATATTCGAGTAGAACTTACTTTCAAGCCTTTACCCATCCCCACAGCAGCCACGAGAGTGTGAGTGTCCGCAGCGCTATTGGTCTGCGCTTGCGTTGCTCTGGCACCGGCCTCGCTTTCCCATTCTTCGCGCGCCTTGTTCGTCATGTCCCATACATGACCAACTACCTTCGAATATTGCATCAATTGTTTCTGAAACCCAACGAGAACGCTTATGAGAAATTAGTACACAATAGGATCCGCGTGTTCCACTCGCTAAATGGACCGACTCGAGAATCTTTGATTGCGCAGCGAATTCAAATTTTGATGTTCAGACGTCAGCGGAGCTGGATCAATGCTTAGATTTATACATTTATTAAGTGGGCTTGCAATACATCAATCTCAGCCCAGAGCGAATGGAACCGATAAAGCTGAGACTATCTGATTAGTAGCTTACATTGTAGTCCTAGTTGTTGTTTAGTTAGCACATTAACAGAAAAATAAGAACATATCTTCAATTAACTATATGTGTCTATCTTAACAGATACTACATACATACTTAATCGTGTTCAATTCACAAACTTTCGCCTGTATTACAGTAACTATTTAATGCTCATAAATATTGCAAATATTTATGAAAAATGAAATAACTTGTCCATATTGTGTCCATATTGGGGAAGAACATGATGATAAAAATAAGAAATAAATATAGAGTGGAAGAAGCATATCTTACATGTGACGCGTCGTTGTTAACATTCGCTTTTGCTTCAAATTGCATCATTTTCTGCTCAGCTTGAGGCTCCAGTTTCGTTCTCAAGTAGTCTGGCACTAAGTCATGCGCGAACGTAGGGATTCTACCTTCTGTCAGTCGTAGCAACTCTTCGTCTTTCTCCGGACTTAAGCGCAGCGGTAGAACCGTGTAATTTCTGAGATTCGGTGCTTTATCGGGCGCGAGAATCTTCGAGAGACTAGTTAGCTGTACAAACAATACAATCACAGTATGAGATGCAAAGTATTGATTAAATATTCGCAAAGTTAATATTTAGCTATTCATTTCTCGATCATCGATGAAACTAACTACTTACATGACCCGAGATTAACGCGTAATTGTCGAGGAAATTGGGCCAATTCAGAGTCTCGTATTCGTGTTCCAATTTGAATACCATCGCGGCGATCGCGCTTTTCAAATCGTTCACTCGCATTATAATGGCTTCCAGAGCGGAATCCAAATGTTTCTCGTCCCGTTGCATTCTCTAAGCAGCTTCCTCGTGAGATATCTATCGCAAATTTTACACTATTATTTTAATCGTATTTCTGTGTGCAGCACAACACCTCCTAAGCCCACAAGACGAAGATTTATAGGTTAAGGGTAGCCAATTATCAATCGATGAATCGATATACGATTCTTTCTTTCTTTCTTAAAAGATCGATTATCTTCTCGATAATTCAATTCGATACTACTAAATTTTACTATATTCACACGCACCGATCTGTTGTTGGATGTGATTTTTGTTGTAACGAAACCATGCATAATTTTTTTATTGTTGGGATTGTGTACGCATTGTCCTTATTTTTGTTCTGTCTCATTTTTGCTTTGCTTTGTCTCAACTTATCGTCGTACAATGGCGCTGGGGAATTCGCCTTAATAGGCACCTGAAGCCAACATGGAGAAAAAGAAAGAGAGAGAGAGAGAGAGAGAGAGAGAGAGAGAGAGAGAAACGCGCTTCAAAATGAGACCGCCTCATCGGAAGACTAAAGCCCGGATTAAAGTTGTGTATGTTATGTATACACGACATGCACATATATATAGTCAATTTTTATAGTCAAAATTCAACGACCAGTGTGTTAAAATAAGATGAAGAGCGAAAATCGATCGAAAGAATGAAATTCGCAGCCAGTCGTTCTAAATTCAGTGGCTAACCAGTGGCTGACTCCTGAAGATGCGTCAGCTGTTTGTCAGCTGATCAGCATAACAAACACGTCATCGCCGGTGATCGCTCGCGCTTTAGAACCCGATTACTTGCGTTTTGCGAGCACGTGCACGAGCTGCGTTGCACGAAAAAACTTTATGCGTAAAGTCATGAAGTCGTTTCGCGAGATTCTTTCGAACGCGAGCAACGTCCTAATCTTAACCGGCAGTGGTATCTCCGCAGAGTCCGGAGTGCCGACTTTTCGCGGTGCCGGCGGCTTTTGGCGCAAATATCAGGCGCAAAGTCTCGCCACCCCGGAGGCCTTCGCAGCGAATCCGTCGTTGGTCTGGGAGTTCTACGAATATCGCAGACAATTAGTGAGCAAGGTCAAAGCGAACAAGGTAACATAACTTGTCAATCGAAGAGAACAAAACAGTGAGCTCGTTAAAAGTACGCACATTAGATTGCGTTCGATCTATTATAGCGCAGAGATAATTTCTGTAAACAGACAAATAAGTGAACTTTTTTGTTCCCTTAGGCACACGTAGCCGTGGCGGAATTTCAGAAGCGCAAAGCAGCAGAGGGCAAGAGAGTATCGATCGTGACACAGAACATTGACGGACTGCATCAGAAAGCAGGAGCAAAGGACGTGGTGGAGTTGCATGGTTCACTCTACAGGACACGTTGCACCAAGTGTCACAATGTCTCAGTCAATGAGAATATTCCCATCTGCCCATCGTTGACAGGGAAAGGGTACGTCTTTTGAGAATTTTGCATGTCATCGTCGTGAATGAAGTAATAAAAGGCACATAACACCCGCGTATGCATATCAAGAGTCCTCTCATGTTGATCTAATGGTAATGTTTTTGAACAGATCACCTGACCCGGGTATTATGTCCTCCGATATACCGGTGAAAGAATTACCGCATTGCGAGATCGCGAATTGCGGCGCGTTACTGCGACCCGATATCATATGGTTCGGCGAAAATCTGAATGAAAATGTACTGCAAAAAGCTTGTATGTAATTTTCTTTTATTTAACAAGTATGATCGTACACTCTGCTTATGAAATATAAGAAGATACCTCGGACAAACGTGCAACGAGCAATTTACAAATAAATACGAAAGATTTTTATACATACACAATACACCAAACATTAAATAAATAATCGGCTCATTTTTACTCTTCGATTATATATAAAACATAAAAGCATAATGTGAAACAAAAAATGTATGACATGAAGTAAAAAAAAAAAAAAGCAAATTTATCTTGATCGACAATTTCTCACGAAATGTTACAGTTGATCTCGTTGAGACTTGCGATGCTTGCTTGGTGATTGGAACTTCAGCGATCGTGTACCCAGCCGCTATGTTCGCACCGCAAGTGGCACAGCGTGATATACCGGTCGCAGAGTTCAATATAGAAGAAACACCAGCGACAAAACGAGTTCAGTGAGTATAATATTTGTTGGACTATCTTGCGGCAAGCATTCGCCAAAGTTACACGCTAAAACTTCCAACATTTAGATAAAAAATATAAAAATTTATAAATAAAAATATAGGTACACGCGGAACATCTCAATTTATATAAAATGTTTTCATCTTATACGTATAGAGTATATAATATACATTTTTTTTGGAATGTCTGTGGAAAACATTACATCACAGCTTCATGCTTCCGCTTACGCCCACCTTTGGCACTGGACTGTAATAGAAGATATATGCATTATCACCCGTAGATTAATCAGTTAATAAGAAATTAAGACTCGATTGCACCAACCATTGTTTTGGCTTTAAGCGAGATTTAAACGTGTATATATCTATCTCTCTTTATCATTCTGAATAAATAGACAGACACATATTAAAGTTTCGCTTAAAACCAAAATAACGTTGATGTAATTGGACCTAAGAGCACGCTGAGTAATTTTTAAGGGCAATTTTTGTCTTATAGATATCATTTCCAAGGTCCCTGTACCACCACTGTGACAGAAGCTTTGGCACCTTGAAGAACACAAGTATACAATATATTTTACATTTCTTTTTTACAATATTACTTACTTCACAATAGCACACTTCTGTATTCAGTCCGAGCTGATTTAAATATTGCAACCATAACTTTTGTTTGGTTGAGAGTGAATCGCCAGGGCCCTTCACCTCTACAATTTTATACTGCAAGTAGAAATATATGACGTTGTAAGGTATACGACGTTATAATTTAGTAGTAGAATTTATTTACACACACAAATATAACGATTTAATATAATTTTTCAAATTGTAAAGAAATAGATTCACCTGTTTTGTATGTGGATTCCATACGATTAAATCTGGGAAACCAGCTTTCCAAAGTGTGTAATTTTGAATGAGTCGTTCACAGATCCCAACAACACCCTCCACTCCTAAACAAAGTGCTATTTCCTATAAGCAAAAGTAACACTAATATTGTGTTGAATGTCACATAAACGTCAATATTATAATTGCTCACCTGAAAGCTACAACTATCAAAAATATTACTCTGGCAAATAGATGTATATTCATGGCGTAAGTCGAACTGGTGCTTCAAATGGTTGCTAAATGTTTCCACGTCGAGTTTTCGAATAATTTGGAGCTTCATGTCGATCTGTTCCTTTCTATTTTCATAAAATTCCGACGAGAACAAATCCAACGGTGTGGGTTCATATGACGATAGGCAAGTGCCAGGAATGTCCATATTATAAATTTCATCCCAGAACAGCATACCAAAGAGAGTAATTGGCAAAGAACCCTCGCAATGCGCACCCTTGATATATCCTTTATTCTTATAGTAGTATAACGCGAAATCTTCAACTGTAAAATATGTTTTGTCTATCCCATTGTCGATGCACCAGGTACTTTTTCTTTGTGAAGGGTTTCTAGGAGAACATATCGATATACCTTTTATTTATTTTTCTTTCTTGAACCTTTTTAAAAGAATCGATAAATTTTTCGCGTGACTTACCCGCATGACGTCCCTTCTATTGTAACGGAACTTATTTGAGACGTTAATCGCGCTTTGCTGAGATCTTTCTCTAATATCAGTTTAACAATATCTTTTGCATGCTGACTGATATTGGATTTCCTTTTCGCGAGTTTCTCTGCTTTTTCTAACAGATCCAGTCTGTCGACTTCCGTTAAAGTCTTCTGTGACACTGCCTTCGAAAGGAGCCTGACGCTACCATTGGGATCTTTCATATGATATACTTCTATTTTAATCAGTTCGTTGTACCATTGTCCTTTTCTATATTTCATATGACATTTCTGCTTTACCAACATGTGCAGAAATTCTATCGCTTGCGGCAATGTTTCCTTAGTCTTCTTAAATGCGTCGATACTTTTGTGCAGAACTTTGAGCCACAAGTACCCCGGCATAAAGTGCCTGATGTGACTGGGCAACATGGAGTTTTCCAGACTATAAATATGTTACGAAATAACAAATCTTTCAAGATAACCACCAACATTTCCATTACAAAATATATAACTGAATGCATTACTTGTTACCTCTGTGCTTCTACTTTTAAAAGAAGTGACAGATGTTCCGCGGCTTGCGATCCAATTTGTCGTACGATCTCCCATTGTTTCTTTTCAATTGCATTCAATACATTACACAGTGCATTTTTAGCCTCCATATAACTGTAAAGTAAAATTTATGTTAAGAATATAATCTAATGCGAATTGTAAAACTTGATCTAATAACAAAAATCATATTACGTACTTCAATAAATGCCCTTTATTAGCAAAAATAGGAAAGTCACGAACGGTTACTTCCGGGAATTTGATTTCTTTCATTTCAATTCTTAATAACATTTGGAATAAATCTGCCATAGTTTCTTGAGGATCTTTATGCGGTATCAATAGCGTAATTATTCTATCAATTATTTCACTCATTTTAGTATCTATCAATATACAGTATCCTAAGATTTCGTTGACTGACGCGCGTAACTTAGTGGCTGGGCTTGGCATCCCAGGAAACAAAGGTTTTGTTTTATTGTAAAACCTTAGAATCGATTGTATATTATTCTCTTTTTTACCATTGGCATTGATTTTACATTCCTGACAAAGTTTACGGATCTCATCAACTTGTAACAATTTCAATAGAACAGTCATATCTTCTTCTTCCGTATTATTTTTAAAAATAGATCGCGACACAAGTTCGTCGAAGATGGGTTTTAAATTTGTCGATATATTGTCATATTTGATACTGTTTATCCTGTGCCACATATGTTTTCTTTTTAACATGCGTATTAGTAATGCTTGTGCATTTCTTGAAAGCGTCAGTAGTGAAAATATCAAATCCAACTCGTCCTTGTCAAAGTATCCGCAATTGTACGGTTTGGAGAATACATTAGCAACGATTGTAAAGAAATGGCATGCGTACGTTTCCGTCGGTACTATTATGTTGTCGATTTCATATCTCGTTGAAGTTGTTGTATCTATACGATTGTACTTATAGTTGAATTCTCTGCTCGAGTAAACTTTCTCTAAGTCAATATTATTATTAGTAATAGCTCCTTCTTTGGCTAAATTCAGATTATCTATCGCTATAGACATCAATTCTTCTATTCTATCATTGAATAATCTTCTTTGGGCAATATTTATCTTTCTTGGTGGTTCATCCAGCACTTTTTTTATCGGAGAAGATGATTTTGGAGAAAATTTTGAACTCCTGCTTAATACAGGACTTTTCACAGAACTTGTAATAGAAGAAATATGTTTGATAATGGGTGTCTTAGCATAGCTTTCTGTAGTTTTGATTGGACTGTTTACCATATTGGTGTTTGTCAAATTAAATGTCCTACTGTTTATTAAGATCTTATTTTTTTGCGATATGTATTTTTTCCTCTTGTTTACTCTAGATGTATTTGATGTTTTGGTTTTGCATGTAGTGGCAGCTTCCAATTTTTTTAATATTTCTTCTTTCTTATTTGGTAACAGAAAATATTAATATTAACCATGGTTGATATACAGTTAAGTTGTCATTTTATTGTATGTACTAATCATGAGAAATAATAAACTTACTTTTTATTTACTTTTTAAATAATAAACTTACTTTTTTATTAATTGCAGATATTCTTAAATTAGATGGCTTTCCTATGTTTATTAAATTTTTAGTTCTTCTACTGTTGCTTGTAACTTTATAGAACTGATCTATTCGGGTTTGTAACATTGTATCTCTTTCTATCGACACAACATATAGAGATTCATACTACAGCCAGATCAATTTTTAAGATATTTATAAATACATCTAATGCAACAAATATTACTAAGATGCAAGACAGATGTCACAAACATATTCTTTCATGCCTAAAGGAACAAATTGATTATTCTACATTATGCTGTTCAATATCTTTTTTATTTTATTCATACATTATCCTATCCTTAAATAAAACTTAATAAGTTATAGCAAATCGACCAAAAAAATTACAATATTTACATAGTTTGTATTATTAAACTACCAGCAGATGAAAATATAAATGTTTTTATATTAAATGATAAATGTAGTATTGCACTACAATAGAACAGTAAGTACCAATGACATGACACTTAATTTTTGCTTGTAAGTTAACACTTGGTAGAAATAAACGCCTTGTCAATTATATTATTCGTCTTACCTTAAAAACAAAAGGATCTGGAAGTTGATATTAATTTAAAGAAAAAAGTAATAGATCAATATCTCAAGAGAAATACTTGAAAGAATAATGATTATCACTTTATTGAATAATTGCGCGTGATCTATAGCACGGACAGAGGTATATTGATACACTAGACAGAGTGACGAGAGGTTATGATGTGCATATTGCGCAGAAGCGTGGCTATCATGTGGCGGGAAATAAATATGAAATGTGAAACATAACTTTCTAAAAGAGGGAATTTCTTAAAATTTTGTCTCATGAAGTTTGAATATTTTGCACTCACACAATGAGCTTGAAAATTCGACAAAAGTATTATAATTGAAAGAACGTCATATCTTCATATGACATGACAAATAGTAGTAGGTAGGCTGTAAGAAAATTATTTGATAGCCAGTGTAATCAGAATTTATTTTTGCAGGCTCGCTTTATCAAATCTTTTTAATATATATATATATATATATATATATATATTCAAATATGATTTCCACGTGCTGTTAATACAGTCAAAACATAACAACAACCTTATTTGTTCGAGAAATATAAGAGAATTTTGCTGCGTGAAAAATAAGAAATTTGCATCCGATACTTCTCTGAAATAATGATTCTAGGTTACTTTACAACGAGCACGAAAACGAAGAGCATACAATGTAATATGTCGAGGCAAATAAAACGAATACTACAATCAGATTTAGAATTGCTTTCGATTTATCATTCTTTCTAAAGAGGCTGCATACACCTGTACACAGCGAGTTGTAACGCGCCTTACTTATACGCGCCGCACAACCTCTCTCTCTCGTTTTATATATTTATATTTATATATATATATATATATATATATGTCGTTTGCATGTACAGGCTCACGAACTGTATACGTGTATACGTACATATGTATATGAATATGTACAATATAGTCGTTCTCATAATTAGCCGATCTTGCATTTTTCTCGGAGAAAGAGAGAGAGAGAGAGAAAGAGAGAGAGAGAGAGAGAGAGAGAGAGAGAGAAAGTTACATAATTAGAATATATTTAACAGCTAAAAAAAATGCAACCCGTAAATTGACTTACTTATATACACTCAATTAGTTACACTTCGTCTCCTATCGCATGTATGTATGTATGTATACGTTGTGTGTGTTAGTCGCAGTAATTACGAATATTAATACTTAAGTTTCTACACGTAATTTGTAGGAAACGTTAATTCATCTACCTGGTAACACCTCTGTTCTATTTGGAGACAAGATACAAAGGTGAAGGAATACTGGTTTATATTCAGATACGAAAGACGTTCCCTCTAATAAGAAAAGAATCGGAAGAATCATTGTCGCGATGTATTCCAAAATTCATCGCTGCGTTCGCAACTGCGAAGCGCAAAGTATTCGAAAAGTATTTACCGTACCGGTCGTCGTGATAGTTGAAATTCGGGTATGTATAAATCATTCGCTGGGTACCAGTTTGTTTCATAAATAGGACGTGTATTTCAGTATTTGACATATTACATGTGACGATAATTCATCGTTTCTGACAGTTGGGCGACAGCCGCACGTTACGTACATGAACGTTATTTTTTCTAGTTCCTCCCCTCCCTCCCCCTCTCCCCCAATAAAAGGTGTTATCAGGTGACAAAGAAGAGATTAAATGATGCATCGAAGAACAAGTTGTAGGGTTGTCTCTAGAGAGCAAATATTCTATATATACGTCATATAGAACTCTCTACGTTCTCTCTTCACCCCTCTGCGAATTCTCCGACTGTACAATATATGGTATTTGAGAAAAGTGTTCTCCTCTACTATACTCGCGCCCAAAATTTCATTCAAATCGGAGCTTTGGTTGAAGCGTTATTTCTCGTTCCTCTTTCTTTCTCTTCCTCTTCTTCTTCTTCCTTTTTCCTTCTCCTCTTCCTTGCTCTTTCCTTTCTCTTTCCCTTTTCCTTCTTTTATCCCAATTAAATCTTCCTGTCGCACAGCGACATAGAAGTGCCTACTGTATTCACAGAATAAAATACACGTATAGTTAGATACACCGTGTGTGCCTCGACGCTCGTCGGTCGATATTATTGTAATTATCTGTTTAACACGCAAAAAATGTTGAGGAGCTTTCTCGATCTTAGTTTTACCTACAAATAACCGATAAGCTCATTCCTCTCTACTCTGTAATTGCCTCTTCTCGCACGCGAAGCGCGATTAACAGCCTCCTTCCTTCCTTTCTTTCTTTCTTTCCTTCTTTCTTTTTTTTTCTGTTTTCTTTTATCCTGTCATTCCGATCACTCTGAATATTTGCATTGATCTGTCTTACTTCTACTTATACGATACACTATTTGTTTCTCGCGAATGCAACGAATTAGGTAAACACGAAGTCTCACAATCTGACCGATTCTTCGGATTCTCGCGCGTTCGTCTTCTCTTCGATTGAATATCTTGCAATCGAAGCGAGAGATTCGAGTATCCTCATAACAATAGCAATTAACATTTTGTCAACTCGCAATAAGGTACTCCGATCGAACCGAGCTTTTCCTGCCGGTGATTCTTCGTCACGAGACAAATCGGTCTACGCATCGCAGTGGAATTTCGTGTTTGCCAAACCAGAAATGTAAAGCGAACTCAGTCTTTGGTCGGAGCGATCATATCTTGACGATTCTCGACATTTTATTAATTCTTTAATGTCTATTGGGTCGTTACCTTTTTTAACATTAATAAATTTTATATAAAAATCCATATATACCACTATGTTTTGTTGTCAAAGCGCCTCAACTAAAATAAACAAAAATTCTCTTGTCCTTTTCTTTACAAATACGCTCTCGAATCGCTTTTCACTCACATAAAATCGCTCGTTCTTCTCAAAATCATTTGGCGGAAGGGTTGTCGCTTCTTTCTTTTCTTTTTTGTATTTACTGCTTTTTTCTTTTATCTTTCAAGGCGGCGTCAAAAATCTCGTCAACAGCGGCATATATACGCAGCACATACACGCAGTGGTATGTCAGATGTAATGTATGTCTGTGTGTATTATACGTGTACGTGTCTGAATGGCGAGCAAGTAACGTTTATAAAAGCTAGATGCTACGAATATATGAGCGAACAAGGTAGGGAGAATGGAGGCTACAGCTTCGCGCGCAACAGTGAATCTGAGAAAAACGAGAGAAATAATGAAGTCTAATCTAAAGAGTATGTACAAATACGTGTCAGAAAACGGATCTCACAAAAAGTTGTTAGATAATATACAGGCGAAGTGTGTGTGTGTGTGTGTGTGTGTGTGTGTGTCTCTGTTTGTCTGTGTGTGAAGATCTTAACAAAATAATAAGTCCTATCCAGGATAAAATTTCTTTATTACTCCTCCTAAAATCGTCTTGAATTCATAAATCTCCGTACACATCGTATGTGCGCCTACCACAACAACATTAATTACAGTTATTATTATCCAGTTAATTACCTAAAAGTAAGAGATACAATAAGCGTAATTATTTTTATATGTACAATATATCCTTTTTTTTCCTTTCGTTTCTTATTACGACTCAAGTCTCCCTACAATTTGTAACATTCGCACCATAATCTTTATCCCCGTGTTTATCCGCGTTACGGCTGGCTTACAAATCGTTTCATCGTGTTCGACTATTGTGAAAAATTCTTCAAGATAGGCATCTGTTTTCGTTTCTTTTCTCCTTTTTACGGGAATTAAACCTGGCATATTTTCTTCTTTATTCCGGATTATCGATCGACTTCAATGATCAAAGTGCTTTCGAATTTGTCCTTTTAATTGTAATGAATAACGTAATCTGTGTGTAGTCTCGAATTCGCGTATGCGTAATACGTATGCGTTTACACTCGTAATGCGGCTGTTTTCTCCTACAGTAACAAGAAAAATACAACTATCGAATACGTCGAAGGAGAATGTGAATTGCGACTGCGAAGAAGATACAAAAGGAGGAGGTTTGTTACTAGTAAATTTCTCAACATCGACAAGCTGGAAGAAATATCATTGATCCAGGCTTGCGTAGATTCCTCTTGCGATTCGTCTAGAACATTGCGCGCTCATGTGTATGTTTAAAAAATAATATGTACAAACGACGTATTATCAGTTAGTGATTGATCGTGAAGGTATATTCTCTCGACTCTACATGCTTTGCAACACCCTGTTTTTGCTTCTCGAGGAAGCAGACAATACGATGTTGAAAAAGAAACAAGTGAAGGAACGTGGGGAACCCAGAACAGCTAAAGTAACACGCGTACGTTATTGGACTTTTTTTCTCATCGAAGTAACAAGCTTTCATCAGCAAAAGTGTACACAGTTTATCGCCTATAGAGGAGGGGCATGTCGATCAAATGTGAGTACGACGAGATGCTTTGACTCGAATCAATCGTATACGCTTCGGAGATACACCCATAATAATTTGTTCAGTTGTATCAACAGATCTTGCCGGGCGAATTTTGCAACCAATTATACATACACAACGGTACAAAGAACGAAATATCTTTCGTATACGACTCGGCATTCTCGAAATTCTCGGAGGAATGATGCTGAGACATATGTATCTGTCCAAACACTCAATAATGGCACGCCTGACGTTCGTTTACTGACGTTCGTTTCATACTCGAATTTCTCAAGCTGGTGCAGAATGCAATGTGTGGCAGGATTCGAACGCTCACATTCATATCCGAACCATAAAAATGCTAGTCTACAAATAAGAATAAATATCGAACGACTCTCGACGTTTGCACTCGTCCATGGTAAAATGTTACAGAATCTGTGAGAGGACAGATGAAAAATGTGACACAAAGTGCAATATCGTTGCAGATGGCTGGCCACAAATTTACTTGGTCAGGTTTCTTTGTTTCTTTGGGGAAAGTTGAGTTAAATAAAATAAAAAAAAAATTAAAAATTAAAAAAAGAGAAAGGAACGCGTGTAATGTTAATAGCAGAATTTAGGACCGCTTGTGTGTCCGCTTCGCCAAAATCATATTTGAAGTATACGATATCTCTACACCAACAGCAGTAATTGCAATCACTAATATGAAAGACGTAAGAAAGACGTTCTTATGCATCGTCTGTGTGTGTCTCTGTAGATTTTAATACAGTATATAATGCATGATTTCTTTTGAAAATTCTGTAATACAAGCTTCCCAAACGCAACATTACAAAATTACATTATAATTGCATATCAGTCACAATATCTGTGGCGCGGATATGCAGTATCAAAAAGCACGTTTTGGCGATTATTATCGGAGAAAGAGAGAGAGAGAGAGAGAGAGAGAGAGAGAGAGAGAGAGAGAGAGAGAGAGAGAGAGAGAGAGAGAGAGAGAGAGAGAGAGAGAGAGAGAGAGAGAGAGAGATATGTAGTGAAAGAAAATCTTTTTACGTTTATGACATTAATGCTATCAAAGGTTAATCGATAACAATAGCTTCAATATTTCACAGCCTGGAAGCCTTTAAAGTAGTATTACACACACACACACACACATATATATATATATATGTATATATCTACATATAAGGGAAATAGAGCATTACTATAAAGTCCTATAATACTTGAACCGAATCTCTATATACAATATTGAGATAATCGTACAATTTCGTAAGAAATCAATTAATCTATTTTTTTCTCTATTATTTCGTGTACTTCTACTTATATCGAAAGCGATGAGACGAAAGTCGAGCGTACTATTGTACTTACAACAAACAGATTATCATACAATCCCCTCCATTGCTAATATAGCGCTTCGAATTTACATATTGCATACGCTATTGAGAACAAAAAAAATTAGAAAAGAAATACCGCGTCATAATCATAATTTCCAAAATGATCTACCAGTGTGACTTGACTATATATGAAGCCAAGAATCATATTATCGATCAAAAATTACGCACAATTAAACGCAAAGCCTCTATTGATTCTATTGAGCGTTCATCACACGCGACAGATATATGAATACAAAGTTAGTAGAGTTTCTTTTTTTCTTTTTTCTTTTTTTTTTTTATACCGAATTTTGACTGTTTAAGAATGCTGTGTCTGAGAAAGCTTGTTATATATGTCCAGTTATCGTGCCACGTGTACTTGGAGTCGGGTAAACGAGGATTTTAAAAACAATGTCGGGATGAAGGTAATATATTTCGTATCTCAGATATTTACGATTTTCCTTGCATTGAACGAACGAGATTGTTGCAAATTTTTTTCGAAAAGAACGAAGAGATATCGCATGCTTTATTTTAGTCAAAAAAACTGAAATATGTAATTTTCTTTTGTCTACGATATCGTATTGCAAAAGATCACACGGTCACAGGTTAAGTGAACTAGTAAAAGTAAAATTTAATTTTGAGCGAATGGGTAAATCTAAATGGAAAAAATCGTGCATCTAAGAGTGGAAATATTTTTTCATGTGGCTCTATATCGTATATAGCGTTCAATGAGCAAGAAAAACGCGAGATTTAAAGAGCACGAGTCTCAACTGCAGAGCACGACTCCCCGATGGACAGAACAAAGATGAACCTTCGGTGTTTGCATTAGAATCCACGTTTGATTCTGATCCTGCCGCGGCAATATAAAAACCGAGTCGGAGCAATTGCAATTGTACCTAGCCGTATCGCTCTTCAAGTCAACGTAGCGCAGTATATCGCAGCATCGTCCGATATCTCCCAGCCGAGGCAGAGACATAGGCAAGGTAAAAGTTAGCGAAGCCCCCAGTGACGTATTGGCGGCAACAGGGGTGCCAATAGCAGGCATCATGTCACTTCCATCGCCAGTGAGTTTGCTTTGTTTGCCCGTACAAGTTGTGGCTGTTGCTGCGGCTTACTGTCGCATGGCGAATTGTCCACTCTATCCACCTCCATATCCAAACTTTCACTGTAATCAAACGAGCCGACAATTAATACAACTTGACTGGGACATCGTCGTAGTCGTAGGTCACGCATCGCTTGCGACATATAATGTTATAGTATTTCAGTTTGTTAAAGAATGACCTGTTATATTGCTCCGCTTTGGTTACTTGCAAACTGTTACATTGTCAAGTATATATATATATATATAAATAATGTGTATATAATGTCGGTTGTCTATGATCGATGATTCTAAATTCGTTAAAGATTGATCTCTAAATTCTGCACCGACCGAATTGCTACTTTCAATAACGAGTGAGAATCGGGGAGGGCAAATTACCTATTACTATTAAGCGTAATTTCCCCGGACGTTGGGATTTGTTGCGCCTGATTCTGCGTCTGTTGCTGTTGCTGCCTCGCGAGGCTCGCCAATTTACTTTGCGTGATCAGACCCGGTAGCAGACTGGACGGTGGATGCTTCTGCGGCAGAACGATCGTGGATTGGCTGTTCACCACGTGAGTGTTGTTAGTCAGGTTGTTCGAATTGTTTATATGCGGCATCGGCCCGTTCTGGTGACCATTGCCAAAGTTTGTGATGCTACCGCCGACACTGCCACTGCCACTGCCATTGCCATTGCCACTGTTACTGCCACTGCCACTGCCACTGCCACTGCCACTACTACCACCACCACCAACACCACCACCACTGGTCACGGTGCTCGCACTAAACACTCTAACGTTCGCACTACCACCATTACCACTATTACCACCACCGCCGCTAGCGTTGTTGCCGCCGCCGCCGCTATTGTTGCTACTACCGCCGCAACTGCCACCATTTCTATTATTCGTCGGACTAGTCAAGGATTTCGAGAGAATGGAGGCAGCGGTACTGTTATTCGGCAATTGTCTGTGTTGCTTGGACTGGTGATTCGGCTGCGCGTCGACGGCGGCACCAGTGCACTGCGTGGACACTGTACTCGACGCAGCGACGACTTGCTGGTTGGTCGTAGACGTAACGGAGGCCGACGACGACGACGACGACGACGACGAAATCGACGAAGAAGAACTTGTTGAAGTATGTACAACGTTAAAACCACCAGTATTGGCAGCACTGCACTGAGACCGAGCCTGCTGCGTCGCTGTTACAACAGGCGACGCGAACAGATTACTCGCGAGTGGAGTCACCACGAAGTGCGAACTGCCAAGCTCGTCTGTCCGCGAATTCTCGTTCAAATTACCGTCCGACAAACCACTGAGGCACGCACCACCGCCACTGATGCTCGCTACCGCGAGATCAAAGTCCGACGAAAGGGCATCCGTCGAGAAGTAGTCCGCGATATTGAACTCCGACGTGAACGGTGATTCGTCTCCCGCACGATCCGGCTCCACCTCGACGCATATAGACGTTGCCTCGAGCGGGAACGGGTATGGAAGCGGCTTGGGTCGGGAGACTACTGTCTCTTCGTCCGAGTCCATGTCACTGCTTTCCTCGCTTGGGCTAAGCACCGACGTAGGCGGAGTCTTTGGTCGAAAATGTAACCTGAGGAACGGAAATACGTAATATGCCATTTTTCCGTAAAAGTAAAACTTCTTTTCCTCTTTATTATCTCACATATTTTGAGTCATCAACAAGCAGGAAAGATGACGCGAATAATGTATATGTATAAAGCAACGATGTCAAAAAGCTATACCGTTCTGTTTTAACAGTAGTCGTTGCTGTGGCAGTAGTGTTCGAATCAGCTGGTCCACACCTGGACTCGTGTATCGTGAAGTCTAAAGAAGACCATATTTCGTCCATGTCGGTCGTGCAGCGGTCCAATATCACTCTGCACAATTACCAGAAATTTATGAACGCACGTGCTTTTAACAGACACTATTTACTACGTGTCGGTAAATGACACACGTACCTGCCACCGCGACCAAGTCTTCGTCGCGCGAAGCCGATACACCTTGGCACTGGCTTAGTGATGCTGGTCAGTGCAAACCTATACTTCTTGTCAGCCATACCGCCTTCATTTTTATCACACCAAGGCCAATTTCCAAATCCACCTGATACAGGCTGTAAATAATAAAAATCTGTATTTGCCATCTTGAGAAAAAAAAGACTCCCACGCACTAAGGGGAAAAAAAAACTACATTATTTTCATATTTTTCTCAAAGATCCGTACATGTATTGTCATCTGTGGAAGATTTTAGGTGAAACAAGGTGTAATCAGTGTATAACGTGTGTAATCAATACCGATAGATCTATCATAAATTAAGAACAAATCAGTTGATCCGAATGTAACATTTTGCATATATCTGTGTGCTAGTAAAGTTTACACCTCGTCAAAATTATGGTTTAGTAATTATAACTATAATTCTTGAGATTAATATTTTCAAAAATAGCAAGACACACCAAAACTTACCGGTAAATAAGTGCTATTCCTATTTCGACGAAAGGCGAATTGACCCTCATCTGCGGTGTCTTCATCATCGCGATCGGAGGGTAACGATGGCTGGGTGTGCGAATGAGATGGAAGTGGGCTGTCCTCATCCGAACTGATGAGCGGGTCCAGCCCGCTTCCGAGAACACCGGGACGATTCCCTCGGCCGCCACCACTACCCGTTCCACTACGTACGCCGGTGTCATCTAAACTTCCACCTCTACTATCCGTTTTATGTTTCCGCTTTTTGTACTGTCTCTTTTCTTTCCTGGGCACTACTTCATCCTAGATTAAGGATAAAGTAACATTTAGTAAGCTCTAAGATAGATTCATTCCCTTTAGAAACCAAAGCACTTAAGAATGTTACTTGCTTATACATAGATACACGTACTTTATTACAGACTTTGTTTGACCAATTTTGATGAACACCGAATTGATTGGTAAAAAGTGGAGCAAATGCCGGTCGTGGTGCTTTTAATGCCGACACCTCTGCTAATATTTGTCCACTGAAATCTTGCGCTTGATACCTGTGAAATCAAGCGGTCAGATGTTCGTTTACGAACGATGTGAAACGATGTGTAGGGTCATTGACATGAGCAAAGTTTCACACACTAACCGCTTCTCGTAAATCTCAATTGTGAGATGCAGGTGCTCTCGTTTCGTTTTCTCTCTGCGTTTTACCAGCTCTAATAGTGTGACTGCTCTACTGAGATCCCTACGGAGCTTCAGCATTTTTTCGTAACTAGCTTCGTCGTTCTTGCGATTCTTGCGAGTCTGCATCTTCTCTGTCCGGCGTCGAAACGCGAGATATGGATTATTGGCAGCCGAACCAAATCGATGCTCCGTTTTAACAGTCAAAAGCAATGGATGTTGCTGTAGAGAATATGTCGCATTAATATTGACACACACATACACACACACACACGTACGATATATTCAAGAAATAAAAATAATAGATATAAAAGAAATAAATATAAGAACATTAGATATTTAATTAAATAATCGTACAAAGCGCAATAAAACGCGCAGGAAATCTCTATCCCAACAGATAATCCATAAGCATATACTCAAGTTGAAATAACATAACCTTAAAGTCAGGAATGATACTTACAGTCTTGAGACGCTTATTGAGCCAATAATCAAAAACTGCGATAATCAAATCGTCATCTTCTTTTAAAAGTGCCTTGGCTTCATTGAGGGTAACTACAGTTTGTCCAGAACTCTTCTCCAGACGATCCATCATCTCTTCAAATTGAAGCGGGGTTAACTCCATCTTGTTGCTTTGTAATGCAACCCATCTTTCATCCTCAGAATCCATATCATAGTCAGGTATATCTTGTTCCATGGCAAAGGCTAGAAAATGAAAATACACCCATAAATTATTTATCAGAAAAGGAATTGTCGAGAGAACATATTGTGAAAACTATTTTTTTCATGCCGTCTTACGTTGCATGTGTATTAATTGGCGAGGCAGCTTATAATCAGCAGGATATATTTTATCATAAACTTCCGCATCTGCCAGATCAGTTACTTCAGGAGTAGGAATGATTAGACCAGTACATATTGCTCTTTGAAGGTGATGTTCCTATAGAATAAATACATCTAATTAATTAATATTATAAATTGGAGCGGAAATTATAATAGTTGACTTATTGCATCTCTAAGTAAACAAACGTTATCGTCATATACATGTGTAACTTTTATAATGCAAACTATTTACATAATTATTTAATAATGCATTTGATACTGTTTATATAAATTAATTTAATTTTGAAAAATTTTCTCCAAATAACTAATTTTTTCTTATATATTACACATAATTATCATATTTAGACAAGCATATAAAAATAACAGGTAATTTATATATATTCTTGATAGCAATATCCAACAATCAATTGTATCACGAGAATTGCTTAAGTTCATTAAATATCAATTAAAATATTGCTATAATATACAGAAGGTCAGACATTGTAGATATTTAAGTGGTTTCAATGTTACCGCTATATATTTACAATTTGTTATAAAGTATATCCTAATGTAACACATGTAGCAACCCGAGTCACAAGTATCAGAACAACAAGTCTATTTGTTTAAAGTTAAACTGAATATAAGGTTTCCTTGTGAAATTAAATTCCAGTATATCAGTACCGTCGAAAGCTGAAGATCCCTGTACCTGGAAAGCATCGTGACAACATTATCAAGATATCAAGTGTGAAAACACTTGACATTTTGATGCAGAAGGCAGAAACAACGTCGTCTAGCCTGCGCTAGAGAAAGGGGACCTGCGATTACCGATAAACGAAAGACTGACAGCTGTCGCAGGGTTTCGGGTGTGGGGCAGGAGGGTGCACGGAAAACAGGAGAGAATCATGATCGAATTGGCAATTACGCTGAAACGAGAAATTTTGCAATTTTCCGAGGTACACGATGAAGACGGAAACCGCCATCTGCCGGTTGTTTACGAAATCGAGCGCCGTGCGCGTAAGATGGCGGACGGGGAAAACATGCTGGAACGAGAGACTGGACGTTCCGACTTACGCATTCTTCCTCCTTTTCCATGCCGCTGGGCATTTGGGGCACAGCGCGGTTAATGGCCGAATAATCTGGCAGGTCCGGTAGCTCCTCGGCCATGTAGATCGGCATGGGCTTGGATGCGTCCAGGGCGCGCGCCCTGAACGACAGCTTGCTCATCCTGAGGGTGGCTGGCTCGCGCGTGTTGACAACCAAGGCTGGCTGGTCGCACCGTGAGAGGCCAGTCGGGTCGGGCTGGGGGGGCCTCGGGCTCGTGGAACGCCGTGGACCTGCTTTCGAGGCCTGGCTCGGGGCCCTGGGGCCGAATTACCCGGCACAGAGAGTGCTCAGCGCCTCATCGTTCCTCGGCCATCGCGCTGGAACACGGTCACTCAGTCACCAAACGAGATATATCACTTTGAAAACATGTTTGCGTGACACGGTCCCTGCTCAAAGCCATCATGGCCGACGCACAGCCATTTAACACGTTCGGCCGCCGCCGTGCAGTTCCACGGGCCGACGTGCGCCGCGCGGGAATCGCCGCGTCGTCGACGACGCCGCCACGCCGGCCAGATCGACCTACCCATTGGACGTCGCGGTCACGCCATGCGTTCTGCGTCTTATGAACTCTGTTTAAACCTCTCCCCGTTCGAATTCACCGTAGCAGACCACACGGCACAACTGGAAGAAATCCAATCGTGCAGGCTGATCACGCCTCAAAAAATTACCTCAGAAAAAAAAAGAAAGAAAAAAAAACACGGCAGCCTTGCCGACAGTCCTCGAGAATTCATAAGAGATCTAAGAGAGACGTCCCGTTTGGACGTTTTCGGAAATTAATCAACTGTGTCATGGAATTTTCATATTACACATTCTCTGACGACTTCCCGTTGGACAATTGTTCCTGTATTTCACGCATAATAACATTGATGAGTATAACTGTTATGTGTTTACCACTTGAAGCGTTGTTGTCGACAACACTGTGCCGTCGTAGATGTATTTTATAAAAGTTCATGAATACGTGTGTGTGCGTACTTGCGTCGCATTGATATTTCTCGAAATGCTTGATCCGAATTGACTCGATTTCTCGCGAATCACGATATCCCTCGAGCACTCGAAGACCACGTGTCTCGATTCCTACTGCCATGACGATATCCCCTCTCACCCTACTTTTGCCGCGCGCAGTGACATACGCGAGTATGAATATAAGGTTTGTTCTTTTTAGTTGCATCGAACCATGTTGGAACGTAAGTTGAAGACGCAGCTTTTTTTTCACCGCACGAATGACACATCGCGGAGACCGCTTGGTTGTTATTACGAACCACGTGCTAGGAAAATGTCCGGAAAACATACGTGATTTAATTACAGACTATTCATTTCATTCAGTTTTTCTTTTCAAGATCTAGTAGCGACGTAACGGCAATCATGAAATTAATTTTTCATATACTAAGCAGTTTCTTACAGAACATACGATAATTTTATTAGCAGTGCGCAATGATAAAAAGTACTTGTAGAATACACAAGATGTTTATTAAATAGTATCTTTATACCTAAAACATATATATTACGAAAATCTTTTTTTTTCTTTTTTATGGGAGTACCCATGTAAATTCGTTATATCTGTTAGTATAAATGTTCTAGAAAATATAGAAGGAATCTAAACGGCTTCATCTGTAGGCTGACTCGGAGGCATTGACTCAGCTGCAGATTTTAAACCGCGAATAGTCAAATCGTACACTACTTCCTCAGTTCTCTTCACATCATACTTGAGACAGTCGAAACGCTTCCTCAACATATCGTTCTTTAAGTTTAAAAGTCTAAATCCAGCATTCAATTCATTTAGAAATTGCGCGATTTCTATCGGCCGATTGTAATCGCCGCCTGTGACGGAATTTACAGCGAAACGACTCTGTAAAGTAAATACTATTAGTAAAAATTATCAATGATAAATTGTTATATAAGGAAACGCATATACCAATTCTGCAGATAACTGAAGCAAACCCAACAGATAATCCTCCAGATCTAAATGAAAACCTTCCTCTCTGTTATTTTTCACTATGAGCAGAAGGCAATTGTTAAATTGATATAATCAGAGAGTTATATAATGTATCTGTGAATGACTTTTATTTTGTGTACCTCCTAATATTTCTGCAACAGTTTCTTTGGTAACCAATATTTTGGCTTCAAGATATATTACTAAAGAAACTAAAAAGCAAAGCCTCTGTGTGACAAAACGCCACTGATCATGGAAACGGTAATACTGATCATTTGGTACCAATGCACTCAAACTTGCATATTGTTTTCTTACTTCTTCAAACAGTGTCCTTGCGTGTGAACAATATTCTAAGATAACTGTAAATTAATATTATATATTAATATAATTGTAGTTGATAATATAACCGTAAATGTATCATTTACTGTACATATTATTCAATAATTATTCTATGATGTAAATCTCGTACAGACAAGTCAATGAATACTGATAAAGTATATATCACTAGAAACATACTTGTTTCCTCTTGATCCTTAGAAATTACTACATTGTGAATATTTTGTAACGTTATCAAGATATCTCTGGCATTCTTCTCAATTTCCTTGACAATAACACGGATCTCCTGCAATCAGAGAACTCTTGTAAGTTTTTGTTTCTATATATTTTGTGTGACTCAGTTTGGCTTCTTAAAAAGATAGAGATAGAGAGGTCTTTTTATTAAGAATGATATTTAAATTCCTTTGAACGAGCAGATCCATTTGTTCTAAAGAGGTGAAAGTAGAAGAATTATTGATTGAGAGAGATAGCAGGAAGAGAGAGAAGCGGTGGGGTTCATTATCCGAATTCCAAGTGTATGATACCCTACATATGTAAACACAAACTAACCTGCAAAGAGCGCCATATGAAAGACTTTATGCAAAACGCGCTGTCACGCAAATTCGCGACTTCATTCGGTTGTGCGGTAGTTTTGGTTTAAAACGGCGTGTCGCTTAACATTTCATTCAACGCGACACTGACAATCTGGCATTTGGCACAACCTAAAAAGCATGACCGCTCGAGGAACGTTGATACGTACCTCGCGTGTTCCCTGCTCGTTGTTTAGATAGTCTTGAAACGCATTGAAAATCTGTGTTATTCCTTCGGACATGGTGCTTTCTGTAGTCGTTTGTGGAAATACAGATATTACACGATATTTTTTTATGTTGAAATAACTTGAAACGTAAATCTCGTGCACACTAATCGATAGCTTTGTCCTTCTTAGCTGAACTTTCTACACGGGTGTAGAAAAATGTATACAGGAAAACATTTTTATAGTAGATTTAACATTACGTTATTTTCTATTTCCATAGTATAGAGGAACTCGGAGAGTTACAGCAGAAAGAAATATATACATGTATACATATATTAAATAAATAAATACATACATTACCCATAAAAGTTGTTAAAATTGATTTCTTTCCGTCACACTAAACAGGCAAATTTCAGCAAGCTATAACTCGGGAGATAATTAAAATAATGAAATATTTCGAGAAATATTCTATAGATTGAAATTTATAAATTTTACATGTATTACTGAATACAAGGTTTACAATTAACTTTTACAATATTATGTAAATATAAATCGGGATTCGTCAAAAGCTTAAATTTTTTATACGAGTTTGTCGAGTTGTATCGAGCAAATAAAATATCACAGACAAGATAATTTATATTATTCGAAAGAATAGGTCTGTCTCTTTAATTTTCATTCCTCCAAATTGCAGAGTGATTAACTTTCACTGAGTTTTTTAATCTTCAAGCAAAAATAATATTTTGGAACTATAATCGCTCATAGTAGACGAATAAATTAACGCACAAAGTGCATTATATAATCAATAAAAAGTGTAAAATTTTTCCTTAGTTATTTTCGACGCAAACAAATTTGCAGTATAAAAACTTAACAGAAAAATTAGGTAAAAATGAAATGGTCGCCATTTATGTTATTTGATATACCTTATTTATGGACATTATTAATGTTTTGAATTTGATATTTCTGAAAAGTAGAAACTTCAAACTTTAAAACGTTTCCTGAACCACTTCGCTATCATTATTTTTAGCGAGGTTGAAACTTGAAATATGTCTAAGTTTGAATATAAGAAAAAGTACGATTGATTTATTGAAGTCATATCACGATTTCAATTTCTCGGTAAACATCGATAAGTATGATAGCGGCTCATAGCGGAGACTTTGAAACTAAACGTCGATTTTACATCCCGGACTGAAACCATTATCGACCAACATTTGTAGACTACTTAGTCGAGAATCGAACCGTCATAATGAGCTACGACACTGATGTATCTAGGCTATGTTCCAAAATTTACTGCCAATACTGAAAATACATAGTTTGTGTCACGTATATTATAAATTTTTAATGCTGGCAGTGAATATTGAAACACAGCCCTCGTCGGTGGCCGCGGATCACATATTTAACAATAATTTCTCAAAAATCTTTTCCTTGCAGGTAGCAAGACAAGAACAACAGAAGTTGATTGTCCGTCTTTGAGCAACTGATATAAAGCCAGCGGCACACGGTGCTTGTTTTCGTGCTGGATTGCTTGCTGGATGAAAATACTGCGTTCTGATTGGTGCATTTCCATCCATTTTCGGAAATGTACCAATCAGGACGTAGTATTTTCATTCAGCAAGCAACCCAGCACGAAAACAAGCACCGTGTGCCGCTGGCTTAACTCAGTAACGGCAGAGAGAAGAAGGAGAGGTGTCATGGGCCGCTTTTAGCCAAGTTCAATGTGAGGCGCCCTCTGTACAACCGTGCACATGAACTACGATGCCAATGTCCACGCCTTTTTTCTGATTTCTCCCACCACGCACTCACGCATAACCGGCTCAGTCTATAGGCCAGAGCACAGACTTCTGCATAACGCATAATATAGAACGCATAAGAGAATCAACCAATCAGAGTTCTTCATTTCTGTTCTGAGGAGGGAAATGAAGAAAACTAATTGGTTTATTCTCTTATGTGTTATGTATTATGTGTTATGCAAAACCCTGTGCTCTTGCCCTAACTCTGCAAATGTTAGAATAACAGCACATATTTAAAATCGCGAAATTTCAATTTTTAATTTCTCCTCAATGCTTGAGTGTTGCATCGTCTCCGGTTAACAGTAGCTTTTGCTGGACCTATATTACATTTCTGCCAAAGCTCGTCAAAATCAGTGACCCCAAGTTTGTTAGCAGCCCTTGTCAAATTATGGGCCAGAGCACAGACTTCTGCATAATGCATAATACACAACGCATAAGAGAATCAACCAATCAGAGTTCTTCATTTCCCTCCTCAGGACAGAAATGAAGAACTCTGATTGGTTGATTCTCTTATGCGTTGTGTATTATGCGTTATGCAGAAGTCTGTGCTCTGGCCCTGTAACCAGAAAGAATTAGGGCCAGAGCACAGACTTCTGCATAACGCATAATACACAACGCATAAGAGAATCAACCAATCAGAGTTCTTCATCTCTATCCTGAGGAGAGAAATGAAGAGAACTAATTGGTTTATTCTCTTATGCGTTATGTATTATGCGTTATGCAAAAGCCTGTGCTCTTGCCCTTAGTCTCGCTCGCGTCGCTGAGCGAGAACGAGAGCGAGAAAGAGGGAAAGATATTCTCGCTCGCGTCGCTGAGCGAACACGAGAGCGAGAAGGAGGAAATGATATCTCTCTGTTGCTTGGCACGCCGACGATTGCCGAGCGCGTGGTCCACACGGATAGACTGAGCTGGCTATATGTGCGTGCATGGTGGGGGAAATCAGAAAAGAGCCGTGGACATTGGCATCGTAGTTTATGTGCACGGTTGTACAGAGGGCGCGCGCTTCATACTGGGCTCAGCTAAAAGCTGTCCATGACACCTCTCCTTCTTCTCTTTGGTAATGGTTATAGCGTGGAATAGAACCTCAAAATAGTGCACATTTTATCTTACCAACTGAGCAAAATAATAGACATCAGGCTACATATTCTGTGTTCATAAAATGAAACATAGGCGCTCTGAAAAAGCGTTACAAGGAAATTGCAACCATAGCTTTGAACTTCTACATTTCAGAAATATTAAATTTGATAATAATGTTCATAAATAAGGTACATCAAGTAACATATGAAATGGCGACTATTTCATTTCCACCTTATTTTTCAGTTGAGTTTTATACTGAAAATTTATTTGTGTCGAAAATATAATAATAATAATAATTATTATTATTATATTATTATTAATTTATTTTATTATTATTATTTAATTATTTAATGTACGTGTGCGTTGATTTGTTTGTTTTCTGTGAGTGATTAAATTCAAAATGCCATTTTTGGTTCAACATTAAAAAATTCAGTGAAAGTATAATCACACTGCACAATCTGGAGAAATGAAAATTGAAAAGACAAATCTATTCTTTCAAATAATATAAATTATTGTCTATAATGTTTTATTTGCTCGATGCAACTCGACAAACTTCATAAAAAATTAAGCGTTTGAATCTCGATTTATATATTTATATAATATTGCAAAAGCTAATTAAATCTTATATTCAGTAATGCACGTAAAACATAGACGCTTCAATCTATAAAATGTTCCTCGAAACATTTCGTTATCTTAATTGAATAAAGCATTATTGTATTAAATAATTTATTTATATTATAAATAATAAAATATATAGTACTTTGATTTATCTACTTATCTATTAACAATTATCATATGTGCTGACAGACTATAGTCAGTGAGCGAAGTTTATATGATTTTTTGCTTTAACACTGAGTAACTCGTCAGAAGATAATCGCACTGTAATCGAGTATGCAAATTACAGAGGAAAATCCATTCTTGTAAACGTACTATTGTCACTTGCGTGCGTCTGTGCATTTACATGATTGCAACTTGGCAAACATCATAAAAAATTATTATAATTTGACAAATGTTGATTTATATCTATAGAAGCGAATTTAATATATTCACACATGCATCGAGCGAAAAAGCTAGTCCAGAAACAAAAAACAATAATCTCTAAACAATTATCTCCCACGATCGAGACGGAAGTGGAATGTTCGTTCTTACATAAGCGCACCGAAGATCCTAAGGAAATCTTTTGATTTGTTGCGTTGTGTGTTTTCCTTATACTGTGCGACTTGATCGTGAATGTGGCGTTTCTCGACCGGCTCAAGAGGTTGAGCCTCACGTTTGCCAGGAGAGCGCGATACAATGTGGCAAATTTGATATCGCGTCGCGACATGTTCGCGTAGCGCGAGCGGCGGCGTTCATAAGCGCGAGCGAGCGTCTGCGTCCGCAAGGTCTCTGGCGGTGTATAAATAGAAACCAGTAGGTCCTGCTGCGCGCGCGAAGTCGAGGAAGGCGGGCGGCTTGGAATTCTACATGCCGCACACTACCGCCGCCGTCGCCGGCGCACGCAGATCGTGGAGGATACACACCCCTGCGGGAATCTGCAGGCGTGTCATTGATCCCGATACGCGGTTGAGCATCCGCGTCGAGGGACTCGTTTTATGAAAAAATCTGCGCCCACGTTCATGGGTGCGAGAGCTCGCTCGCTCGCTCGTGTTCGACTTAGCGTAACGCAGAATTGTCAGCCGTCGTCGTGGTCGTCGCCAATATGCCGATAGTCGGAAGTGTCGAAACGGCGTCTTCGTGAAACGGCCGGATTCTTTGCCAGTCTCGGGAAACCGGTACCAATTCGACGGCGGGCTGCGATTTCGACGCGAAGATGGTTTCTCGCGGCCGAGACGGCGTGAAGTCTTCTCTCGCACGCGAGCGTGCATCCACAACGTCGACGAATCGAACTTGCAGCCGCGATCGCCGCCGCCGCCGCCGCCGCCGCCGTTGCTTTCATGGATTTCAGCTTTCCGCTCACCTGCAAATATAGATCACACCATCGTTATCCTCTTCGCGTCTTTCTCTCTGATGGGGATAATTACGGAAATTTTGCTCGCGTTATCGCACGTACGACATTGTCAGTGCGCGTGTCCTGAGTCTCACTCACAGTGGATCATCAAGGAGGAGACGAGGAGACGAAGAAGCGCGCGGCCTTGCCGCGGCCTTCGCTGCAAGCACAGGCTATACTTCATTTTCGATAACTTTGCCGTTGCTCGAGCGCGCGCGCGTGCTTCGCGCCTGCATTCTGTCCTGTAAAAATGATATCGTCCTGTTTCCCGTTCCTCCGGGACGCGTTGCGAACGTTCCCTTCGCGCAGCGTTCACGATGATGGTGCGATAGCATTCGTGAAAGCTTGCGGTATCTTTCCTCGTTATGTAAAACGGTCAACAGCCCGCTTGTGCGTACGTTCGCGTACACATACGAGCGAATGAAGCTCGTTGCAAAGAAGAAGGAGGGGGGGGGGAGAGAGAGAGAGAGAGAGAGAGGCAGAGAGAGGAGAGAGACGAGAAAGAAGAGAAGAAAAAGAAGAAGATGATAATGATGATGTTGATGATGATAATGATAACGGTGGTAACGATGGCGACGAAGAAGATGCTGGTGAGACCGAAGTGGTCAGGCCAACCCCGATGAGCTTCACATTCTTCCAGCTACACGTTCGTCCCAACGAGATCCAGGTTGCGGCGCTCGTCGTGAATTTTTGGTACCTCCGCACCCCGAAGCGGACGGCTCGACGGCGCGACGGCGTCCTCGGTGCGGGGCGGCGCGCACACGCTATTTTTAGCGGCGCCGATCTTATCGCGCCGCGAGAAAATAACGCGAGCATATACGGGCCCCTTCCGACAAGGGGCCCACGTGAAGGAACCTCACGCGTACTGGCCCTGAGGCATTCCCAAGTTAACAACACGCAGAGGCTCGCGCGCGCGCATTCGCTCGATTCGCATGGACATTGCAAACACCTCGCGTGCACCGGCACGACGGTCGCGCGGTTCCCCTGGAAAAGAGAAAAGCCCGCTCTCGCTACTGTGTTGCGTGATCAGGGGGAGTGACATTTCCAAGGGAGAGCGAGAGCTGCGCCGAGAGCGGCGAGCATTTGCGTTTGCGATCGACCTTACGCCACTTGTTGAATATCTAATTTTAAAAAGAAAAAGTGAGCGAGCGAGAGAGCGAGAGAGCGAGAGAGCGAGAGAGAGAGAGAGAGAGAGAGAGCGAGAGAGAGAGATAGAGAGAGAGAGAGAGAGAGAAAGAAAGAGAGGGAGTTATATAATGGAATAAAAATCGAAATAAATCGTCGAGAGGCCGTAAAGATTGGACTCGGCGCGACGAGCGCGAACTATAAATAAAGCCGATCTTTTAAAATCACTTTCGCCGCGTTACTTTCAAATCACGGACAAACGCAACAACACACACAGCGCGCGGCGTGCAACAACGCAATCGCAGAGGGCCCAGCTTGTGTGATTCAATGTTTGCGCTTTAAACAGGTTTGCACGATCGGGCATAAGCAGCGCGCGGCACGTGTAAACGGGCGCTGCAACGAATCATATTTACGCGAGCGAGCGAGCGAGCGAGCGAGCGCGTGCGAGTACGTGGAGACGTGGACATCTGAAAGGATATAATCTGCGGAAAGCAGGAAGCAGAAGGATGAAGAATACACTCTCGAGAATCCAGCTTGAGAGGCGCGCGCGCTCGATCGCTAATATTCTCTCGTCGTAGTTGTGAGATTCCTCGCACGATCTGCAGATGTAACAGCTGCGATTATTCGAAATCTATACGGAGCAGGAAGCTTGATTCGTGTGATTAACATCCTGTTACCTGGGGAGCAGACGAGAATTCTATCGTAGAGACAGAAACATTTCCGTAGCAGCTGGCTACTCGGTCGACTGATGTCTCTGTGATGTCAATCGAGTTGTTTCCGTTGTTGCAGCAACCGAGACATCGTTCCTCGTTATCGAATATTCATCTGATTTTCTTTTTCTTACGCGTGAAATAAAATGTTTCTTCTTCGTGTACAAGGAAGACCTCCGATGACCGTGTGCAGCATTTTGAGCGTTACTTCGAAGAAATTAAGCAAAGCCGATATATATATATATATATATATACCTTTCTAAATCCGAAAATCCCGATGTTTCCACCACGCAGCCTCCGCCGCGTCTCCAGAATACAGTCCTTGCTCCACATTTCCATGCACTTGCGCGCATCGCGCCGCGTCGACGAGAGACGAATGTTATCAATGGAGAGTTACCGCCGCCTAGCACGCTCTCGGCTCATTCTCGGCTTGGCAAACGCGCAAAATCGAAACCGCGTCGAGACGCGCGTTCGAGATTGCCCTGTAAGGCTCCGCGAGAGATCTCGCCGGCTCGCGATGTGAACGGCGCTTTAAAAACGAGTATGCGCGTAACACATGCAAAATGCAGCGGCGGTAAATGTCAGGGTCATCGGCATACGCGAAGCGAACTATCAGGTAAATACCAATTAAATGCCAATGGCTCCGGCGGATTTATACCTGTAGAAACGAATATTTTCTCACATGCCAATCGAATTAAAGGCCGAGAATGCGGCGATGGCGCGTCAGATGGCCGGGAAACGAGGACGTTAAATACGGCCGGATCATCGTGTTGTTACTCCGGAGTTGTTTGCGTTGTGCCGGCTACTTCGGCTCCTGCTTCGAGTATCGGTATTTGCACGAGAGTCCTCTTCTTCTTTCTCTATTTTTTTTCGTGCTCAATTCCATGTCTCTCCGGGACAAGCGCACACGATGCGGAGAATTCTGCATCATTCATCCGAGCCTTCCCGATCCAGCGACGGCCTGCAAAACGGAATAGCATAATTGGAGCGGACGGATCTACGAGCCATAAGCAGAAGGAGAGGAAGAGGAAAAACGTTTCATTATTAATCGCACGTCCTCTAGCTGTCTTGAGGCGCGATCATCTCGCGACTATGTCACGTTCTTACGTGGCGTACTGGAGGAGAACGTGCGAGAGCGCGACGCCACTGATATCGAGAGATAATAAATCGAACGAATGATAAACGGAGACTCACTCCGCGATGTACGCACGTTAATGCGTCGAACGTGCTGGCGCGTCTATTAATTCCCCCGGAGGGAAAATGTACCGTGAAAACACACCGATAGATCTTGTCCGCTGGCTCTCGGAGCAGAGGAGGAGAGCCGAAACCTAGCGCAACGAATGCCGGTCGTTTGCTCAACGGTGCGTTTTAGACGCCGTGATTATTCACACTACGGTTTTACTAACGGTTATCCGTCGTAGCTGAAGCTCGCGCAGCCTCCACTGAGAGGGGAGAAGCTCTATTTGCTCGCTCTTCCCTCGGCTAGGTGAGGATGTTCAGCGTCGCGCTCCAATCAAGATTCAATCGCCATTTACCTTCAAAAGAAACAATGTAGATCGTAGCGAATAAGTAATTGTACTCGCCTGCCGGCGGCTATGTTCGCGTCGGCTTCGGATGATACGTGGAAGCCGCCAGCGAAGATTTCTCTCTCTCTCTCTCTCTCTCTCTCTTTCTCTCTCTCTCTCTCTTTCTCCCTCTCTCTCCTCCTATCTTCCTCTCCTGGCTAGAGAACACGTCCGTAATTAAAATCGTAGACAGCCGGGAATTAAGGTATAGTCGTCCTGAAGCTGAATCCACACTGGAGACCGCAGGAGCGTCATCACGTCCTTCCCTGCGCGTGAAAAGCAACCCCCGCAGGTTAATCTGAAGGTCCAGTCGCGAACAATCACGCGCGTTGAACCTGATAATTGAGTTGTCGAGCAAATTAACACATTGTCAACCGCGCGAGTTCCCGGCCTTCGAAAAACATACTTTTCTTGTCAACGCGCTTTTGCGCTTGTGCGCTTCTGTGCGCGACGAGGACTCTCGACTTAGACTCCTGCAATTTTTGCGCTGCAGGGATTTCGGTGCGACGAAATGTAACGACAAAACTGATCGTTTCTCCTTAGGATCGTCGAAAGCCCAGATGATCAATCGGTTGCTCAACGATTTGTCGTGAAACGGAGAGGATCACGCAACATGCGATTGGCAATGTGTCAAGTGTCGATTTCTATCCCAGAGAATCACCTCATCTCTCCTTCCGTTGTGTGAACTTGACGCAACAAGTCGGAATAGGAGGAAGAAGAGACGCGCGGAGGGTGAGAGACGCGTTCGTTTCGCGCTCGTACGCGAATCAGCTTAGTCCCGGTGGTATTGGTGGCGCCGTGCCGAAGAAACACGCCCTCGGGCGCAATCTTTTTACGTCATGGCTCGAGAATTTCCTAGCCGGTCGATTGCTCGCCATTGCGAGAATCACCGTGCCGGGCATGATATCGGACCGTTAAGGGCCCCACGAGGAGCGCGATTCGCGCGCGAGGAATCCGAGTGGTGTCCGAGCAAATCGACCGGCGAAATCGTGAACGTTTACCGCCCGCTCGTTATTGCTCTCTGCGACGTTGACTGGACGTTTCTTCTGTGAATCCTGAAAAATACGAATTTTTTAATTCCAGTGAATCAACAGCTCGGAGGGCACAAATTCCTGAAAGCTGCCTCAAAGAGCGGTATTCGCAGTTGGATCTTACATTTGAGGCCATTTAAAAAAAATGCGTTCTTATAAATTGCTATAACTTCTCGAAGAAATTACAAACCGGCCGACTTTGACCGTTAGTTTTGAGTTGATTGAAGAAAGATTATAAGGAGCTGGGAAGAAGCTCGCGCGCTGTTTGAGAAAGCATCCGAGAGGTTACGCCCGACTTGAGAAATGAGTCCCGACCGATTCTTCCCGTCCCACGTTTCTAGCAGGGAGTCCAAGAGCAGCTGAGAAACACTCTTGAGCCGTCGCATCGAATTCGCAGTCTGATACTCCGGACGTCTCCTCGCCGGTCGAGATGTTTACGCGTTCCTCCGCTATGCAACGTCGAGCGTCTCTCTCGACCGACGACGTGGAGTCCGCCGCGCGAGCGAACGCGCACGTAGTTACATAAAGGCCTAAGTATAGCGTATAAACGTCCACACTATACAATTATGAATTTTATGCATCCCATTACGCCGAGATTACTTGAAGCGTCACTTGTCAGCGACGTACATAGTTGCCATGCACCACTACCACCACCACCACCACCACCACCACCACCATCAACACCAGCACCAGCACTGCCAGCTCCGCCAGCGTGTTGCATCTCCGCCGTACCTCGCACTTTCCTCGTGGCGTCGTAGCGATTCATGAGAGCTACGTACGCACGGCATAGGCTGGTTAAATTCGTTACGAATGCAAAACGCGCCTGAGATACCTTGGGAACGTATGATAAAAAATGCCAGCTGATGTATAATGGATATCGCCGCGCTGCGGCTGGATTGCCTCGTGCGGAAAGACCACGCCACATCTTCAGCCGTATCGGCAAGATTTTTCCCGCAAGATCTTGAAACCTCATAATAGCGACGTGAAAAAAAAAATACATATAAGAAACACAAATGATCCATAACGAGCTGAACAAGGCGTGGTGCGTATACCGTAGAGCTTGTCTCCGGCTATCCGACGAGAGAAGCGCGAGGAGCGAAGAAACGAAGCCGCGCTTCGTTCAGGTAACAACGAC